AAACGTGGAGTCTCTTTGGAATTCATTCCTAACGACTCATTTTGAGTGCACTGCTTGGCACAGTAACGAACTGGCTGGGGTCTAAATAATAAGAGGGGTGAACTAGAGTGCCTCGTGTTAAAGGAGGATATTGATGTAATGGGCACCACAGAAACCTGGTGGAGTGAGGACAATCTATGGGACACAATCATTCCGGGGTACAAAATATATTGGAAAGACAGAACAGGTCGTGCAGGGTGGGAGAGGGGAGTGGCACTATATGTGAAAGAAAATGGAGAATCAAATGAAATAAAAATCTTCAATGAATCCACATGTTCCATAGAATCTCTCTGGATAGTAATTCCACGCTCTAATAAGAATACAACAGTAGGGATCTATTGTCGACCACCTGACCAGGACAGTGATAGTGACGATGAAATGCTAAGGGAGATTAGAGAGGCTGTCAAACTAAAGAACTCAATAATAGTGGGGAATTTCAATTATCCCCATATTGACTGGATACATGTCACCTCAGGACGAAATGCAGAGACAAAATTTCTCGATACTTTAAATGACTGCTTCTTGGAGCAGCTGGTACGAGAATCCACAAGGGGAGAGGCAACTCTCGATCTAGTCCTGAGTGGAGCGCAGGATCTGGTCCAAGAGGTAACAATAACAGGACCGCTTGGAAATAGTGACCATAATATAACAACATTTAACATTCCTGTGGTGGGAAGAACACCTCAACAGCCCAACAATGTGGCATTTAATTTCAGAAAGGGGAACTATGCAAAAACGAGGAGGTTAGTTAAACAGAAATTAAAAGGTACAGTGACTAGGGTGAAATCCCTGCAAGCTGCATGGACGCTTTTCAAAGACATCATAATAGAGGCTCAACTTAAGTGTATACCCCAAATTAAAAAACACAGTAAAAGAACTAAAAAAGAGCCACTGTGGCTTAACAACCATGTAAAAGAAGCAGTGAGAGATAAAAAGGCATATTTTAAAAAGTGGAAGTCAGATCCTAGTGAGGTAAATAGAAAGGAGCATAAACACTGCCAAATTAAGTGTAAAAATGTAATAAGAAAAGCCAAAAAGGAGTTTGAAGAACAGCTAGCCAAAAACTCAAGAGGTAATAACAAAATGTTTTTTAAGCACATCAGAAGCAGGAAGCCTGCTAAACAACCAGTGGGGCCCCTGGATGATTGAGATACAAAAGGAGCACTTAAAGACGATAAAGTCATCGCGGAGAAACTAAATTAATTCTTTGCTTCAGTCTTCATGGCTGAGGATGTTAGGGAGATTCCCAAACCTGAGCCATCTTTTGTAGATGACAAATCTGAGGAATTGTCACAGATTGAAGTGTCACTAGAGGAGGTTTTGGAATTAATTGAGAAACTTAACAGGAACAAGTCACCAGGACCAGATGGCATTCACCCAAGAGTTCTGAAAGAACTCCAATGTGAAATTGCGGAACTATTAACTATGGTTTGTAACCTGTCCTTTAAATCAGCTACTGTACCCAATGACTGGAAGATAGCTAATATAACGCCAATATTTAAGAAGGGCTCTAGAGGTGATCCTGGCAATTACAGACCGGTAAGTCTAACGTCAATAACGGGAAAATTAGTTGAAACAATAGTAAAGAATAAACTTGTCAGACACATAGAAGAACATAAATTGTTGCGCAAAAGTCAACATGGTTTCTGTAAAGGGAGATCATGTCTTACTGATCTCTTAGAGTTCTTTGAAGGGGTCAACAAACATGTGGACAAGGGGGATCCAGTGGACATAGTGTACTTAGATTTCCAGAAAGCCTTTGACAAGGTCCCTCACCAAAGGCTCATACGTAAATTAAGTTGTCATGGGATAGAAGGGAAGATCCTTTCATGGATTGAGAACTGGTTAAAAGACAGGGAACAAAGGGTAGGAATAAATGGTAAATTTTCAGAATGGAGAGGGGTGACTAGTGGTGTTCCCCAAGGGTCAGTCCTGGACCAATCCTATTCAACTTATTCATAAATGATCTGGAGAAAGGGGTAAAGAGTGAGGTGGCAAAGTTTGCAGATGATACTAAACTGCTCAAGATAGTTAGGACCAAAGCAGGTTGTGAAGAACTTCAAAAAGATCTCACAAAACTAAGTGATTGGGCAACAAAATGGCAAATGAAATTTAATGTGGATAAATGTAAAGTAATGCACATTGGAAAAAATAACCCCAACTATCCATACAATATGATGGGGGCTAATTTAGCTACAACTAATCAGGAGAAAGATCTTGGAGTCATCGTGGATAGTTCTCTGAAGACGTCCATGCAGTGTGCAGTGGCAGTCAAAATATCAAACGGGATGTTAGGAATCATTAAAAAAGGGATAGAGACTAAGATGGAGAATATCTTCTTGCCCTTATATAAATCCATGGTACGCCCATATCTTGAATATTGTGTACAGATGTGGTCCCCTCATCTCAAAAAAGATATACTGGCGTTAGAAAAGGTTCAGAAAAGAGCAACTAAAACGATTAGGGGTTTGGAACGGGTCCCATATGAGGAGAGATTAAAGAGGCTAGGACTTTTCAGCTTGGAAAAAAGGAGATAAGGGGGGATATGATAGCGGTATATAAAATCACGAGTGATGTGGAGAAAGTGAACAAGAAAAAGTTATTTACTTGTTCCCATAATATAAGAACTAGGGGCCACCAAATGAAATTAATGGGCAGCAGGTTTAAAACAAATAAAAGGAAGTTCTTCTTCACTCAGTGTGCAGTCAACCTGTGGAACTCCTTGCCGGAGGAGGTTGTGAAGGCTAGGACTATAAAAGGGTTTAAAACAGAACTGGATAAATTCATGGAGACTAAGTCCATTAATGGCTGTTAGCCAGGATGGGTAAGGAATGGTGTCCCTAGCCTCTGTCAGAGGGTGGAGACGGATGGCAGGAGAGAGATCACTGAGCATTACCTGTTAGGTTCACTCCCTCTGGGGCACTTGGCATTGGCCATTGTTGGTAGACAGGATACTGGGCTGGATGGACCTTTGGTCTGACCCAGTATGGCCATTCTTATGTTCTTATGTTGATATCTCTTCTACCCCCTACTGGATGGAATAAGAACTGCTCAATAGTGTGTCATGGGCCCTATACTGCGAATAAAGATTCTCCTGTAGCGTAAATGATCTGTGCTTTTGGAGCCAGGGGGAGCAGAGTTCTAGCCCAGCTATCACTATGACTTTCCAAGTGGCCCTGCGGCGTGTCATTAGCAGGAGTTTTCTGTCCAGAATGGTAAATGTTTTCACCCCACTCCTGCCCCCTCCCAAGCAGAATAGCAAATACTGTCATTTATTATTTGTAGTGTGGTGACACCTAGCAGCACCCACAGAGTCAGGGCCCCACTGTGCTTGGGGCTGTACATACTCATAGTGAGAGACAGTCCCTGTCCCAAAGAGCCCACAGTCCAAACAGGCAAGGTCAATAAAGGGAGACTGTGAAAGGAAGCATTATGATCTTCATTTTACAGTGGGGGAAATGAGACCACAGAGACTAAGGCACAGATCCTGAAAGGTACTTTGATGCTTAACTCCCATATATAACTCTAAGGAACTGGGCCTAAGTCACTTGCCTAGAATCACAGAGGAAGTCAGCACAGAGTCCAGAGTTGAACCTAGATCTCCCGAGTCCCAGCCCAATGCCTTGGACATTGGAACAGCCTTCCTCTCCAAATAATGCATACCCACAAATGCAAATAATGATTAATAATGTTTCCTGCTGGATTTTTTGACCAATTGTTTGGCGGAGCTTGGGAGGGTTGTGTTTGTCTGATATTTTTGGATGGAGCGATTTGGCAATATTTTGTGATGACTTAGAAAATTCTCTGGTAAAACAAAGTAGTTTTGGGGGAAGTTAAACTTTTTGTAAATCTAGTAAAAATTCAGATTATGGAATTTTTTTCCCTCTTGCAACACAAGCTTTTGTTTAATTGAATTGGGGCCATAGATACAGTTTTAAAACCATTTGTCAATGGAAACTTAATGGAACACATGGGTAGCTCTGGCTTAAACTCAAATATCTATTAAGCAAGCAACACAATTAGAAAAGTAAGATAATGCTGTTTAGTACTTGGCGGTTTGTTCTTCCATTAGCCATAAGAGACTAAGAAGATCAGTCACCACCAATAAATCATAGTGCTGTAAGGTAAACTGCCCCCAAAACACAAATAGAATTATTAGATTTCTGGCATCATTTCTAACGTACAACGGATTTAAAAAAAAGCGATAGATGAAATTCCACGTTGCATTTTTTTAAAAGTAGGTGGAATAAGGTAACGCACCCAGGCTAGTGTGTGTCAGTGTTATTTGTGTGTGTGTCAGGAGTTGGGCCTCGTTGTTTGTTCATGTGCATGTGACAGCAAATTACAAACCCCGCTAAGACTTACGCATGTGAATAAGTTAACTCATATGTGTAGTTCCATGAAATTCAGCAAGACTTCTCATGTGAGTAAAGTCACTTGCGGGTATACGTCTTCACAAGATTGGAGCCATAAAACTATGCACATCCCCCAAGACTAAAAAATCGCCTATCGGCTGTGTACCTTGTTTTTCTGGTGCTCCTTTGAGCCCCTCTTCTCTCTTGTTTGGAAACACACCTTTCCAAAGTCGGTGGGCCATGAAGGCACTTCCTACCCGTGCCAGGGTAGAACACTTCTGTGTCTTGACTTTTGCAGTTTGTCTATCTGCCTAGAACAACTGCTGTTATACTGCTCCAAGATATTGTGGAATATGTAGCATACATGAGCAAGAATCAGCATAATACAATTTGCCAGGATTACCCATCACTTATATTTGGTATAATACATTCCATATTAACACCGTGCACATAGTACCTATTCATGTGGGGGCCGGGGGGGGGGCAGAGGGGGTGTCCCCTATATGTTTTTTTCCCGTTCCATCTAGTTCTCCTAGACAGTGATGTCAATTGGGCCCTAGGAGCTGGGCTCGGACCCACTTGGATTCATTTGTGCCTTCCTTACAGAACCAACACTAGCAGAGATGTAAACAATGGCTGGTCACGCCAAAGCTTCCCTGGAGCCAGAGGGCTTTTCTCCCCCGGGCTCGCCTCAGCAAAGAGACCCGATGGTCAGTTCCCAAGAGATAACCAGCCAGTTCGCCAGCGCCAGCAGCAAAGAGGACTGGGAAAACCTGGATGGGAGTGAGTTGATTTTCACCTTGGATAAGGACGAAGAGGAAGGAGCTGCCAATTTGCCTGAAAATGCAGTTCTGTATGTGGACACCGGGCAGTGCAAACGCCAACCTGGATCTTCATTCCACAGGCCATTCCCTCCAGCTCTTCCTCCGGAGCTGGGCTTCCTGACCGACATCCCCTTCTATCACCTGACTGGCTTCTCTCCACAGAGCTCCACTGCCCCCCCGAAGCTGCAGGGCTCCCCGGGCCCCAAGCCCCTCATTAACTTAGTGAAGTCCCTGTCAACCGAGATACAAGCCAAGGAGAGCTGCCCTCTCAAGCCCCAGCCCTTGCTGAACTTGGTCAAGTCCATTTCGACGGAGATCTCCCACCTGGAGCCCGAGGTGACGCAGTCCAAATCCGACTCGAAGCTCAACGTGCAACTGTGGAGGCAGATCACCCAGCCCAAGAGCAGACATGGGGACTCCAGGACAGCACCCTCCTCCCCCAATATCTCCCCTTCGGAAAGCAAAGGCAGCTTCTTCAGGGCGCAGGAGGCCAAGTTTGAAGACACAAAGAGGAGGTTCTCCGAGGCCATGCAGGAACCCCTCAGCAGGCTCAGCAAAATCATCGGGGATGAGAACAGCATCTCGGCCAAGTATAAACTGCCCCACTCCAGCGCTTACGTCCATGACTCCCCGTCCAGCCACAGTGGGGACTGCACTAGCGTGGACGCCAAGGCTGCTGGGCCCAGCCCCGGGAAAGCCGAGAGCGACCGGCTGGGAGAGCACGCGAGCAAAGCGATCCAGAGGACCCAGGCGAAGGACGGCTTCCCCTTGGAGCACAAGTGGGGTCCCGCCTCGAACTGCCGGTACGAGATCTGCTCCTGTGGAGACGTAATCCAAGTGGTGGAAGTGGAGCAGAGCGAGAACGGCCCGGAGGAGGCGCAGCTGTGGCAGCCCCTGGACGAGCTCCTCCCAGCCCAGCCTGGCAGCCCAGTGCCATGCAACACCCTCGCCTGCATTGCCATCTTGGCTTACAATTACTTCATCCTGCCTTTGCCCCCTTACCTCTCAGGCCTCTGCCTGGGACTGGCCTGTGGGTTTGTGCTGGGCTTCCTGGTCATCCTGCTGTTTGTGCCAAAGCCTTCCCTGGCTCCCCGGCGGGGACAGTCCCCGCAGGACAAGCGGCGCTCGGAGCTGCTAACGAGGAAGCCACGAGAACGAGACGTCCTCAAGGTAGGAGATACATTCGGGGAAGGGGGTGATGCCTGCCCAGGGGTCGGACTGTGCCAGTCTGCTCCAGGGGGACAGCAGTTATCCAGACTGCGGCTCTGTAACGTGCGACTCCAGGGCCGGGTAGCCGTGCTCTGAGTGCTGATCATCCCCACGGTGTCTGGGTGCAGGCAGACAGCGCCCACCACAGGGCGGCACCCCAGCTGCGACAGGAACCCCTGTGGGCCCCAGACATTCGGGACCAGGTTGGCTGCTGGAGAGTGTATCTAATCCACTGGCTCTGTGCGTGTGACGACCATGCCCACTGCAAATCCCCAGCCAGCGTCCTCCTTTAGCTCAGCTGGTGTCTGTCTATTTCAGTCCCGCTAGAGCTCCTACTACCATGATTCCCCAGCACCACACAATGAATTTATCCCCACATACCCCTGTGAGGTAGGGCAGTGAAGCCCCTCTCGTCTCCAGGGGAGCAGGGCTGGGGGCCGTGGGTTAATTTGCTGTGTCGCTGTTGTAAAGTTGCACTCGTGGCCCCACGCCAGTGAAAGATAATGTGCACGTTCCCACACCTCCATGAACACACGCACCCCTTCCACCTCGCCGCTCAGCACACACATCTCCCCGCACACGTGTGTGACTTGTGCACCCCAGGCCACCCCACGCGCGTGCATGCACACACATTCCAACTCACGCCCGCATCACACCACACCTTACCTGCACGCTCATCCCCTCCTACTTTATAGCACATTTCTCATGGGCGTGTCACAGCAATTCCTTCCCAAGTGCAAGCGACCAGCTCACACAACAATCCCCGTCACACTGTAGGCAGCAAGGAGCACATACCACAGCTGGTCCCACAGTAAACTCACTAGCTGGACATGGCTGCGAGACGTAATCTCATGCAGACTTTCCCTTCCAGAGCTGGATGAATGAGATGTATTTCTACGACCCGGAGATCTACCACCCGTCGCTCACTCACTCAGTGTTTGTGACGCTGGAAGGCACCGCCATGAAGCTCTCCTACCCCAAGAACAATGTCCCACGCCGAGCCGCCTTCGAAGAAGAAACCCTCGACGTGGCCTTTGTCAGCCATCGGTACTACAACATGAGCAATGCCCAGGTAGGGCTCCGCCAGAGGAGATAAAACAGTCCCCACAGAATAGCTGAAAGCATCTAGTTTAAAGTGAGCCAAGACAGGCGGCTGTAGCCTTGAATCTGAACTCGTCCTATTGGGGCTGGGTGGTACAGGCCTAATGCTGGACTTCATCCTGCCACATCATGGATGAGCTTTGGCCTTCAGTGAGAACATTTGGTAAGTCCTTCTCACCCCAGCTGGACCATTTTGGCCCTTGGAACTCTTCATAGCCAAGCCATTGCTCTTCCTTCACTGTGCCTCCATTAAAGAGAGTCCCCGTGGCTGGATGCACCATGTGATTATCTCCCCTGTCCCACCAGGCTACACGGCTTGGTGTCCCCGTGGCATAGTCTCCCTGCCTGACAGCATTTGTTGGTATTGCAGGTTTTTCTCTTCCCACCGGGCCTGGCCCGAAAAAGGATGTGGAACAAGAAATATCCCATCTGCATTCTGTTCCCAGACCAAGAGGACCAGAATTTCAGAAGCTCAAATGAGCATGACACGGACCTCCCAAGAGATGAAAGCCTGAAAATGACTCGGACACCAGGCCAGGACGTCCCCCTGAAGCCTCCAGGGGACCTCCGGGAAAGGACCCTCTACCTCTTTGGAAGAACAGGAAGGGACAAAGAAGAGTGGTTCCAACATCTTATGACAGCCTCCCAACGGGACTGTCACGAGGTGCAGAGTGCCAGCTGGGGCGAAGGCAAATTCGGTAAAACATTCAACCCATGGTGGCCTCTTTTGCATTTAGGCAAATACAGATAATCCAATGGAGGAGGTCACTTCTATAGCCATGGGCTTTATATCTGCTTGCTGTGGGCTAAATCCACCATGGGGGTAAACAGGTATAATCCCACTAAAGTCAAAGGAGTTGAGCCCAATTGTGCGAGCACTAAATCCGGAGAAAGACAGAGGGGGCTGTCTGGTGGTAGATGGACCGATCAGCTTCAACCATGCCCCAGCCTAAAAGCATTTTCAGCAACTCTTTAGCAACAGATTTGCTGGCATTCTCCATGGCAGGTTTATTGGAAGGTACCAGGCTTTTAAAATCTCAATATTCATGGCAACCAGTAAAACTCTGAGTAAGAGTCCTTACGTTGAGATAAATAACAACTAGCTTCAGACGCTGATTCAGCTCGGTGGGCTGCAATCCGGATTCGTTGTCCATGATGGCAAAGCTCGCTCAGCTCCAGAAACAACTATCCCCAACTGAGATGCAGCAAAGGGTGCTGAAAACAGCTGGATGTGCCAGCCAAGGCCTCACTCACCTGCAGAGATATGCAGAGTGCCCACAGTGTATTGCATCGGTGATTGGGACGGGGGCATGGTCTGGTGGCCTGAGCAACAGACTAGGAACCAGGAACTTCTGAATTCTAAACCTGGCTGCAACTCCTGTTGTGGCTTTGGGCGAGTCGCTGCACCAATCTGTGCCTCGGTTTCTCTGTCTGTGCAATGAAACTAATTATACCCATTGCCCTTACAGGGGGGTTATGAGGATTAACTGGCTGAAGTGTGGCAAATGCTTTGAAGTTGAATAGAAAAATCTGATTATCACTGCTCAGGCATTCTGCATCTTCCTCCTGGGCAGGGAAAGACTCCTTCCTTTCCTAGATGCACAATTGTATCTCAGAGCGTGTCTACGCTTTGGGGGTGGGGCGATTCCCAGCTTGAGGAGACATCTCTGCACTAGCTCTGATCAAGCTGGTGCGCTATACGGAGAGCGTAGCCATGGCGGTGGGAGGGGGCTAGCTGCCCTGAGTATGTACCCATCTGAGACGCTGACCCCTCCCGCTGCTCGCCCCGCCAAGCTTCACTCAGCTTACAGCACACGAGCTCGAGCACAGCGAGCGGGAGTCCGTCTCCTCCAGCCGGGAAAACCTCCCCCAGCTTGAAGTGTAGACCTACCCTCAGTGTTGATGGGTCTGTCCGTCCATCCGTCTGGCTTTGCGGTATGCCATTTGCTTGCCACGCTCCTTTCTCCACTCATCTCAGCTGAACGCAGCCAGAGCACGAGCTCCATTTGTTTCTGTTTCCCAGGTTTCGGTCCGAACCAGCTCTCCAGCCCTTCAGGAAAGGGCATCTGCAGCAGTGGCAACAGCTGGGGAAGCACAGAAGACGTCCCTTCGTTGTTCAGACCCAAGGATCTAGCTGGGACCCTCCGGGAGAAGATTCTTCTAGATTACAGTACTTACATGTCCCAGTTAGTCCAGCCAGAAACAGGCACCAGCCACCTCCAGAGCCCTTGTCACAGCGCCATGGGCAGCCCAACCCCCCAAGAGGTGAGTGGAGCTAACGGCGTAGTCTGCCAAGAAATCCAGATGCTTAGAGAAACAGACACATGAATTCTCACAAAAGATTTTTCCATGCCCCTCAGATCACTTGATCCTTTCTAGGCCCTCTAGCCTGGAACTAGAATCTCCCAAGCTATCTGTGTCAATATGACATCCAACATATGGCCAAATTCCACAACCACTCGAGGACCTCTCCGCATTTGCACGTCCTGACAATGCTTTAAACAAAGGCAACGTTTCTAAAGAACTAACAGGGGGTTAATAGAAATGGCTCTTACCCCGTAAATTCTTGGGGGATGTGTTCTCAAGAGCTGGGTAGATCAGTACCAGTGTTTCAGTTAATACCTGCTTTATAACTGGGACCACAGCATCATCTCAAAGACTCATAAAGTACCCGAAAAAGAATGAGTCATGTTATTTCAACTTAGTCACCAGAGACATTAATTTCTGCTAATTGTGAATCAGTTATCATTCCAGACACTTCAGAATGTCCCTGTCTTATACATGTTACCCATTACTCCATCACAGGCTGCATTCTTGGAAGGATATTTTTGACCCACTGAAAAATAAGGCAGAGCCTTCGGGTTCATTGACTTCAGGACAGTCTCTGTTGATCTATCACTCTCTTTTCCCATTAACTTCAAGCCTTGAGAGCGGTGCGGTCCTTTGATGGGACACATGGATTCTGTTAGCTTTTCCTTATTGGCTCAAGGGTTTCTTGGAATCCCATTTCATTGTCTCATGGTATTTTCTTCTCTGAGACTTTCAGCTATTAATAGGAAAGAAAGAATGAATGCAGATCCTGTCTCAGGTGTAAGCAGAAGGACGTGAGCAACAGCACATTCCCTGTCAGGGAAAACCATGTCTTTCATGTCTCTACAGAAACTGAAGAGCTGACCTATGTGAATATCTTGGACTCCTAGACACTATGAGAATACAACTAATAAACAATGGCAATAATAGGTTGCAGAGTAGCGGCCGTGTTAGTCTGTATCCGCAAAAAGAACAGGAGGACTTGTGGCACCTTAGAGACTAACCAATTTATTTGAGCATGAGCTTTTGTGAGCTACAGCTCACTTCTGATGAATGCATCTGATGAAGTGAGCTGCAGCTCACAAAAGCTTAAGCTCAGATAAATTTGTTAGTCTCTAAGGTGCCACAAGTACTCCTTTTCTAATAGCAATAATGAATCAGAGTCTGGGACCTGTCCCTTGACAGGCAAACCCCATAAGATTTGGCAGGGCTGTTCAGAGAAGCACCTGAAAGTCTCGATGCTTCTGTGAGCCTCTTTGGGTTGGAAGGGTAGTGAGATCACACCTTTCGGCCAGATTTCCAGTTTGGGTATTTGCCAGAAGCACCTGGGCCTTCAGTCTCAGAGTTTATTCAGCCCATGATCTCATTATTGTAAATGGGAAGCACCTGCAAGTTATCATCATCCTCACCATCCTTTTCCCTTATACTGTGATTTAGAAAAGTGCGTGAATCTCATCTCCCTCCTCACTGTTTTATAGATGGGGAAACTGAGATACAGAGAGGCCAAGATGGGACTTGATTCCAAGCCTCTTCTCTGCCCACTCCCCTACTGTAACCACTAGACCACACTACATGCCTGAGCCTATAGTTATGTCCCTCTCACATGTACAGTATATTTAGTTACTATAGCCAGTTTCCTCATTGCTCTGCACCTTCCATGCTGCGGCCCTGGGGATCAGGTCTTTTGGGGATACGTTATATATATATATATATATATATAGTCTTTTCTAAATATAGTATGTGAGTGTCAAGGATATTACTGTACACTAATTTGATCTGATACTTACATTACCCTTTGGCGTTTGTGGGTCTCATTCATTCTGTAGCATATACGTGGCCATTCTTATTTCTCGCTCGCTCGCTCTTTTTTAAGTTCCTCAGGGACATGAATGGCAGCAGTGAACTGTCCATGGCTTGGATGAATGCACTGGTTGGGCGAATCTTCTGGGACTTCCTGAGGGAGAAATATTGGATGGACCAAGTGTCAAACAAGATCCAGAAGAAGTTAAGCAAAATCAAGGTGAGACACTATGGATCCTTGCTTTCCCTTGAAGAAGAACCTCATGGTGTTCCACCTGTCTCATTGTCTGGGGAATGGGACTTGAAGGGAAAGTCCAGGCTCTGGTATTTTTCAGAGCATTGTGATGCATCCATCAAGTTGCCTTTAGGACCATATGGACCAAGTCCTTCACGGAAGTCAGTGGAGTTCTGCCACTGACTTTGATGGGAACAGGATTTGGCAGTCAAGTTATACATGCAGTCAAGCCTGACATATGGACCAAAGACTTAGTGCCCAGCTTTCTCAAATCTTTCACTGGTGGGAAAAATTACAACCCAGGTTCATCATTAAAGTTAAATGGAACTCATTTTTGGACTCTTTTAAAATCAAGATTGGATGCTTTTCTCAAAGACACACGCTAGCTCACATGAATTCAGGGCAGTGCTACGCAGAAGGTCAGACAAGATGATCCCAGTGGCCCCTTCTGGCTTTATAGTCTATGAATTAACAGTGCAGTTGGGAAGCACTTATTCAAACTCAGCCTGGGACAGCAGTGACGGAGAGCCCTTTGCTGCTGGCTCTGGTTGCCTTTGGGCACAAGCTGGTCTCAGATCAGTTCTTAGTGGGACAGGCATCCATACCACAAAAGCCTTTAGCACAATGGGCTGCTTTGCTGGCCTCCTTGCTGAAAGAGCCAAGGATAAATTGGGCTATAGAGAAGGTAATCTCCTCTCCCCCCCATCCCCCAGAGGGCCTCCCTCCACGGCAGGGACAAAGCATGATGGGAAACGTGCCCATCTGAAACCAGTTAGAAAGGGTTTCAAGTAGATTGGTTTTGGGAGGGGCCTCATACTGGACCTTCCATGAGCACTCCAGTGCTTGGAGATGCTTATGCTCCACCCATTAAGCCAGCAAGGATGGAGCAGGGAGCCCTTAGTAGACAAGCAGCATGTATTAGCTGGGGTACAAGTTCAGACATTCTGGGGAGCCCTTCTCTTAAAGGCTTCTCTACTCTGCCCTCCCCCAGGCGTGTTCTTCACTGGATTATGAGTTGTCCAGTTTTAATGACATTTTTAATTAAAAATTTAACCCCAGGGATCCAGCAAGTCTATTCCTGTGAGACAGAGGTGGCTTTAAAATAATAATTAAAAAAAAAGCTAGATTGGAGCACAGTTTGTGTGGAGAATTGTTTGGGACACAGAAAATGTAACAGTTACAACACCTACAGAAACCAACTGTTATCAAAAACAATCCTGCATTGGGCTTTGGGGGATGGACCCAGTAGATCTTACCCAGCTCTCATTTTTACAGCTGGAATAATGCTCATCCTACTTTGACGGCTTTGTCGAGGCCAGAGCCTCTTTAAACAGCCCAGTAGCCTCGTTTCTGATTTCTGATTAATGATAAGCAGCTTCCCTTCTGCATCTGCTTGGAAGGAGATTGGGTTTAATCGCTCTCGTTTGTTCTCACTCCAACCTAGCTCCCGTACTTTATGAATGAGCTCACACTCACCGAGCTGGACATGGGGACATCCATCCCCCTCGTTCTCAGTGCCTCCAGTCCGATCATCGATAACCGAGGTAAGGGTCCCAACAGCATCCCCCACACCCACCCATTCAGTGCATTCGCAGCAGGCCTTAGCCCCATCATGTTGCATTAACATAGGAACTGGGCTCAAGACTTTTTTTTTTTTTAAAACATGTTTTGGGAAGATTAAAGCACCCCCGTGAAAACTGACCAGGCTTTGTGCCCATCGGCCACGGACAAAGATCATTTTAGAGCAACAAGTCTGTAGAAGTCACTTGGTGGCAACTCTTTGAGACAAGCTTGGTTCCACCACAGTGATGGCCCTGCCTGCCTCATCCAAAGACCATTCAATCAATGGGAGCTTTACCTTGACTTCCGTGAGCTTTGGATCTGGCCCTATGGCATTGCTAATGCACCCACAACCAGATTATCCTACAGTTCAGTATTCCACGGAGACTGACCTCTGCTGTCACTCCTAGGAGGGATCCCTCCGGGGCAGGGCGGTGACACGTTGGTGGGGCTGTAAGGGAAAAGCTTGCACTGTTGCTGCCCAGGGCTTCCCTGTGCTCTGGCCTCTGATCTCCAGGGCTTCCCTGTGCTCTGGCCTCTGATCTCCAGGGCTTCCCTGTGCTCTGGCCTCTGATCTCCAGCACTGTCGATCCAGAACCTTCCTCTATCATTAATTGACTGACAAAAGAAAACCCAAAGTGGGCATTCGAACCAAACTGTGACAGCTACAAATGGGGGCCACTCTGAACTGGAGGGGTATAACTGGGGGTGCTATACACTAGGAACCCACCCCCCCTGGACAGTGAGAGCCCCTCACCGTGATGGAAAACAGGGCAAGTAAAACACACCCAAAACCAACCCCCTGCATTCCACCCCTTCCCTGCGGGGGCCATTGCAATGGGAGGATGGGGAAGGGCAGTTGTCAACGCTGCTAAATGTCATCCCAGGGCAGCCCTGGGGGAATGGCAAGTTGGCAGCCTCCTAGGGGAAAGGAAGAAGCATGTCAAGTGGCAGAAGAGTCCAGGACTGCATTAAGGACAGGGAAAGAGAAGGCTTGGAGTAGAGGAGGGAGCATGGGGAGGGGCCGGGTGTGAAGAAAGGCAGGCAGGGCGCAGGAATTAAACCAGATTAACCCTTCGGGCACCACAGCCAGTGCTTCCACGCCCACACCCACTTTGGTCCATTTGGAGAGTCACGTGGCACCCAGCCTGAGGGTAGCAGAGGGGTTAGCCACTCGCAGTGAAGCACCGCTTGGAACAAGGTCTTATGGGAAGGTCACAAACCCTTCCCCTAAATGGGGAGCATTTGGGGCAGATGCCGCTGGATCCCCTAGACAGTGGCGCCTGTCTTTCTCTGTCCCAGGCATCCCACAACCCAGCTGTGGCAGCATGTTAACCCTCCCATGTCTCCAGTCATCCCCCTCTCAGAAAGGTCATCCCCCCTAGGAGCTCATTCAATGGGAGACGCTGGATTAATATTTCATCCCCACACACAGTTTGCCAGGGACTCCTCGTCGAGGAGCAATCAAGCGAGTGTTTATCCCCCTCTCCCTCACGCACGTTCCCTCGCATCCCTCCAGATCTCCCACCAGCGCCTCAGTCTCCATTCCAGCTGTGCAGCCTCCGATAAAGCAGGGGAGAGCACGCAGGGGCTCAAAACATTCACGGCCCAGCTCTCTCTCAGCCCGCTTGGGAATGCGCGATCCGCCACCCACACTCCCAGTGTAAAGGGGACAGAGGAGGGGGAAATAAAGGGGCCATGCTGAGCCTTCAAACAAAGCCATCTTCCTGTTGCCAGCGGCCGACTCTGCACAGTAATAATTGCTCTGTGCAGCCAGAAGCCAGTGCAGTGCAGTGGAGTCCTTGCTCCGGGCGGCACAAGAACCTGCTGCGTTTCCCAATGTGTGGAACAGGGATCCTGCATTATTAATGCCCGGATAAAGGCCTCAACGGGGATTGGGTTCCCACAAAGCTAGAGGTTATATGTACTCGTGTGCACACACAGAAACACGCATGCACTCATGCAGAAGGTGGGAGAAAGCAATTGTTTCTCACCCCCATTTCACAGGTGGGGCCCAGAGAGATTCAGTGACTCACCCCAGGAGGCAGTGGCTAAGCTAGGAATTGAACCCAGCGCCTCCTGCCTCTCAGCCTAGGGCTTTGCCGCCAGAGCAGCCTTCCTCTATGATGGAAGAAGCAAGGAAGCTGCTACCAGGCCAGGGTGGTTGATTGAACGGGGTGAATTCCACAGATTCCAGTGGTTCGAGACTCTGTGTCACCCATTCGCATCCAGAGTCGTGACTAAAGGCTGTTATCCTCCGGTGGCTCTTCAGGGGCCTGCGTGAGAGAGGTCAGTGACCGGAGCCCAGTTCCCACAGGGGAACTCAGCAGAGCAGCCAAGGGACATAATGAGTCACGAACCAGGAGGCAGGCACGACGGGGCTGAGGGAGGGAAGGCTGGATAGATAGATGCTGAGCTTCCCTCTCCTCCCAAAAGGTGGTCCAGCCCGGTCAGAAATAAGGAGTGAGTCAGTGTGGGGACACCGGTACTGCCGATGCGATACCAGCTCTCAAATCAGGCTTTGTAGCAGGCACCTAGCATCCTCCCAGACACCACAGATTCATGGGACCATGCGTCACCTGCATCCTGTCCTCTCTGCAGGGCTTTGGGTGGACGTGGAAGTCATCTACAACGGCTCCCTACAGATGACACTGGAGACGAAGATGAACTTGTGCAAGCTGGGGAAAGAGGCATTGGCGGAGGAGAGTGGGCAGACGGCTGCTGGTGGGGAAGGGTAAGGTCACTAAAGCATTACTGGGCCCTTCACTCCTGCGACATCAGGGTGGGAGAGACCCTGGTCCAACCATTCCTCCAGGAGAAGGTAGTCGGTTCTGTAGCCGTGCTCGGTAGGAGCATTGAATCTGGACGTGAGTATGAAGCCTTTGTGTATTAATTCAAGGCATCCAGGACGCTGCATTGTTCTGTCTCTACACTGAACAGAAAGGGCTTTATAATTCAGTGAGGTCTGCAAAATCATGGGTCTGAAGGGCACCTCACAGGGCTCTGCGGGCGGCATAGCTGCACATCAACAGCCCGCCTCCCTGCCGGGTGACACAGGCCAAATGGATTTAACTCCGTGCTTTAATCAGAAGGAACCTGGTCAGTCTTGATCTGAAGCAGCATCTTAGAAGAGCTTGATTGTTGCAGAGCAATGGGACAAGGTGTCTGATAGTGGAGGCCGTCCAGAGTCACATATCATCCAGCTGGGGCAGAAGGAATAAGTCGAATGAAAATAAATCAACTCCATTTGGAGGGTTTTATCAGGCCATCTGTGCTGAATATTGCCATTTGTCTGAGCAGGATGGAGACAGCTGGGAAGTTAGTTCTAGGAAAGAGTCATTAATAAAATAAAAAGATAAGAAGCACTTGCTTGTGGCTTGTTTGTCATGACCAGCTTGTGCTCCGAGTTAGCTGACAGCCACATTCCGGACTTGTACTAATCTCTAATCATTTTATTGGTGATCAAAACAAAAATCTTCCCCCTCCCCACGTGCCACTTTGGGTTTTTTTTTAAATCAGGACAAAACGTTCTGTCTGGAGCTGTGAATGTTCTCATGGCCTGGTATTATTCCCACCCTGCCCCTGGGCACAGAGCCCCTGGCCTCATTCTCCATTTACCTGGGCCCTGTTGAAAGCACAGATGGGCTGGAAAGTTAAACCTTTCTTAACATGACCAGCTTTAGGCGAGGAGAGGGGACAGCCCAGAAGTGGATGAATTCTGAGTTACTCCAGATAACGTAAAGAGCAGGGGAAAGACAAGCATAGGAGGAACGAGGCTGTTGCTCCATTCTGCGTCCTGCTCTTCAAAAAGAAGTCTGCTTCACTGGGTCAGGGGGACAAATGTCATAGAATCATAGGACTGGAAGGGACCTCAAGAGGTCATCTAGTCCAGTCCCCTGCACTCATGGCAGGACTAAGTATTATCTAAACCATCCCTGACAGGTGTTTGTCCAACCTGCTCTTAAAAATCCCCAATGATGGAGATTCCACAACCTCCCTGGGCAATTTATTCCAGTGCCTAACCACCCTGACAGTTACTAAGTTTCTCCTAATGTCCAACCTAAACCTCCCTTGGTGCAATTTAAGCCCATTGCTTCTTGTCCTAGCCTCAGAGATTAAGAAGAACATTTTTTCCTCTCTCTTCCTTGTGACAACCTTTTATGTACTTGATAACTGTTATCATGTCCCCCCTCAGTCTTCTCTTCTCTGGCCTCTCCCTCTTGGGTTCAAATGCAACTCAAGGTTGCTAGTGCTCTTCTTACCATCTGGAAGTATATGAAATAAGATGGTGATTCTTGGTCTAGCTCCTGGTGGACTTGTGTTCACAATGAAGCCAGCTGAGAAGCCAAGGGCTGGTTAAGCTCAGGAACTGGATCTGCTGTAGCCCACTTACATGGTCTTGTCTCTGAGACAATGGAATGGAGGAAACTTGCACTAGCCTGGCCTTTTGCTGTACTTTACCAGCCGTGAACAAGGCTGTCAAGTGCTTGTAATGATAGTGCAATGAATCCTACTAATCACATGCACATGGCCCATCCTTCTCCGAGCGTGTTGCAAACCTTCACCTATTCATCAGAGAGTGATCTGCTGGGATGTAGTTAGCACTATTGGAAGAGTCTGTTGTTGAAACACTTGTACAAATTGCTGGCCCCTCATTGGCTTATTTACAAGTTACGGGACTGGGTTTTCTCCTGCCTTTTGGAGAAACTGCCTGTGTTGTTACTTAGCACATGTCTAGCTGACTCAGGAATGACCGGGGCTCATGCCACTTACTGTCAATTAGCAGCTGATGTCTGATGAGGCCAGATTGTCACCCCTGATCCTGGAGCACTCCGCTTTGTTCGGCCGTACATTTGCTGACAGATCATTAGTTGCTCTGTTTTTTTAATGGAGCCATTCCGGGCCAGAATGTGAGCTGGGGCTCGGGGCTCGGCCTGCCACTCGAGCACCTGCTTCTGCTATGGAGACACTGTGGTGTGCATGGCTCGCCTAGAGAATTATCCACCTGACTCAGAACCAAGATGACTCTACGTGGCTTGGATTACAACACGTGCATTCCCCCTACCACTCCAAATCCCTCACCTCGCAGAACCGCTCTGCCCTGGCAAGGAGATGGGATCGATCTGACACAGGAAAGGTAGCGACAAGCCTCCTTAATTAGCCGCATTTTAACAATGTGCTCCGGAAGGGAGTGGCCTTCCCTTTGCCTCCCCCAGTACTGCTCTAGGGGGGACACTAGGCTGGCAGGCTGCATTCCCCCTGCAAACTCCTCCCCAGCCTGACACTGCATGTAGGTCAGTGTCACCAGGCATTTCTTCTTAAAGAGGAGTTAAAGCCGAGATCCCTTGGTAAAGGACTTAAATAGAGAACAATGCTGCCTGCAGGGAAAGGGGTGAGTGTTACATTGAACTTCACAGCTCGGGGGCAGCAGGGTGGGTATTGATCATGCCCCAGCTATCAGCACAAGCCGTGCAATAAGAGAGATCAAGGCACGATGCCAGGATGATCCGTTTGGCCTCAGCTGGGGTCACCATCTACTGGCAAACCCAGCGAGCACCATGAAGAACTCCTGTGAGATCAACCCAGCTGGGGCAGCCTGCATGGGAGATGGCTCTGGAGTCCCCAAGCCAGCCAGCTGCCCAGACTCTCCTGCATTTAGAAAGCACAGGGAAGAGTTTCAGATCCCCTTTAATGGGACCTGGCTGGGCATCCATCTCCAAACTCTCACCCCTAATAGCAGCTTGGAAAGTCCCACCTTCTGCTTCAAGCTCCAGGGACCTGTCAAGTCCCACTAACCCCCCTCACCTTAGAAACTGACTCAGAAGAGCCCATTGTAGCAGGTTCTTACCTCTCCTCTGTCAGACATGGCCATTGCCTCAGTTTCCCCTCTCCCTCTTGCTCTTAGTTTAATATAATCCTACAGCTAAATTAAACTCCTCCCATGCTGGGGTAAGGAGAGTCCAAATGAAGTCTCCCCCAGTCTGCCCTGGGTCACCAGACCACCCTGTTCCAGTCACTCCCTGCTCTGTCTCGCAGGAATCTGCAGGAAAACCAACAGACAAATCAGATCCAAAGAAAGAACACACACACTCCCCCCCAATCTCCCCTGCAGGCCCGTGTCCAAATCCCAAGTTGCTCCCCCACTTTCTCCAGGATTCCTGCCAGTCTACAGGGAACGATAAGACCTCTCTCTCTGTTTCCCTTTGCAGAGAAGCCTGCAAGCCCTCCAAGATATTTCTTTCTACAGAGAAATCCACGCACACACACCCCCCGCCCCCCCACATACCTGCAAACCTTGCTATGTCCTGCTCTCTTCTCTGTCCTAGGGGGGAAGAGTCAGACATCTGCTTATATCCTGTTTCCTCCTCCCAGCATGCTTGGCTAGAATGACCTACAATTCCCCATGGTCCTGGGAACTGTAGGTCCCACCACGCCTTGGGTCTGGGTTCAAAATGATAACAGGCTGTCCCGGGCCTGTAGCCTTTAAAGGGCCAGGCCAGCCTGCTGCATCCATGTTCATCCTAGTATAACAAACAGACGTGACCCTGCTGTGTGTCCCTGCCACCAGCACCTCTTCCCAAGCACCTGGCCCATGCTGCAGAGCTAGAGGGAAGATGCCCGGGCCATGAGGCTGCACTAGCTTCCGTGCCATTAGCCCCAAAAGCCTTTGCTGCTGGCATCTGTCCGTCTGACACCAGAGAGAGCGCCGGCATGTTGGGGGCTAACACAAAGAGCCGTGGGTAAAGGCTTGGCTGGCGGTCAGGCCCGTGCAGCCTGCGGGTGCCACAGCACAAGGACCCCCACTGGGACTCACCTCCTCCCTCTCTGCTTGCAGGGCGAAGCCTCGGGTGATCCTGCTGGCAGACAGCGATGCAGAGTCCTCCAGCGCCGGCTCCTCCGACGAGGAAGACGTCCTTGCAGCAGAGCCTTCTGGAGCCCTGGGAGAGAGGATCGTCCCCCCTCCTGCTGAAGGGTAAATAATTACTAATAAAATAATAATAATCCCTAATCCAGCTATAGCACTTTCCCTCAGTAGATCTCAAAGCACTTTAAAAAGGAGGTCACGATCATCGTTCCCATTTCACAGATGGGGAAACTGAGGCACAGAGTGGGTAAGTGACTTGCCCAAGACCCCTCAATGAAGCCATGGCAGAGTCAGGACCCCGGTTTCCCGCATCCCAGTCAAACAACCCCCTCTCAGAAGAGGGGCTCCTCAGCTAGCCCTGCCTGTGGGGAGCCATTCGGGATCACAGCCCCTAGACACCCCACGATGAGCACGGGACTGCTGGCTGGCTAGATCATTGAGTCCGACACCCTGCAAAAGCACGTTATTGTCTCTTAAGATTTCCCTAATAGCTTCATCAGGAAGGAGAAGAGTCGTAGGAGTGTGTGAGGCTCACACCTCCAGCGCCTCCTGCTGGATGGATTTCCATGGCCTGGGAGCCAAGGAGAAGGGTGGCCTGTTCCTGCTGGAGGAATGTCGCGGAGTCACAGACTGCGGGGATGGGGGGGTTGACAGGGAGCGAGAGGTGCCCCCAGGATGAATGGGGTGGGGACCAAGTGAGGTGAGGCCCCAGCTTAGCTCCTGCCTTGGAGCAGCCCCCTTTTGCAGGCTGACGCTGACTCCCCTCTTCCCCCTGCTTAGCCATGGGGGCGGCAACAGCACTAGCCGCAAGATCCTGCGCTTCGTGGATAAGATCGCCAAGTCCAAGTACTTCCAGAAGGCCGCTGAAAACGAGTTCATCAAGAAGAAGATCGAGGAGGTGTCCAACACGCCGCTGCTGCTGACTGTGGAGGTCCAGGAGCTGGCTGGGACCCTGGCTGTGAACATTCCTCCACCCCCGACAGACCGAATCTGGTAGGAGCGTCCTTGTGTCCCACCACGCGGTGATTTGCCGCGTAGCCCGGCTTCTACTTCCCAGAGCTTAGTGGAACATGGTCAGGGAGTTTCGGCCTGAAATTTAGGATTAGGGAACTCAACATGGGCAGAAATATTCTCCCAAAACAAGGACTAGATTGCTCGGGGGATTGGGCCAGCCATGTCACACTTTTCCCATCTAGGTCATGGATCCAAATCCAGCACCAGGTAGTGCTAGTGACCAAAATCTCTTGCAGTCTGATGGTTGTTCAGTGGGTCTCAGCCCACATCCTAATGGACAAGTGTCTCAAACTGGCCTTTTCACTGGCAATGTCAGCAGATGCCAACAGCTGTATAGGCCACAGAGACTGTGCTCCCCAGGCCACGTGTGCAGGGACATAAGGAGTTTGTGATGGTCTCTGCTTCCTTCCTTCCCCCTCCAGGTACAGCTTCCGAATCCCTCCCCAGCTGGAGCTGAAAGTCCACCCGAAGTTGGGCGAGCGGGAAGTCACCTTCATCCATGTCACGGAATGGATTGAGAGAAAGCTGCAGCATGAATTCCAGGTACCTGCTCCCAGAGCACTGGGAGAGAAATGATGAGTGCACTGGGGATGGATCAGAACCAAGGATGGGACAACTGGGACCTAAACAATGTAAAGATGGGCCTGCAAACTCTGGGGCCAGATGTTGCAAACCTCAAGTTTTGGGCAGTGTTTAGATCCAGGGTTTTGATTCATTTAAAGAAGGAGATAGAGTTTGGGCATCTCCAAATTCAGTGGTGTTCGGGCCCAAGTTTTGGTTCAGGCCAATCTGGAGAGAACCAAAACCGAACTGGACTCGGGCCTCTTTGGAAAGTTGAGAAACATGAGTTAAACTTTTTAGAGGTTTGATTCAAACCAATGAAGTGCTCCAGGAGCAGCTGCTCTCATAGGATTCCCCACCCAGCTAAAACCAGAAGGCACTGGTGAGACAGCCATGGCTCCTGAGCCGACCAGCTGATTCTCATCCCAAAGAGATTCAGCCAAGTTCAGCTCCTAGAGGAATCTCCAAGAGTTTGAAGGTGCTACATGCTTCAGGTTATTCTCTCTTTTGTGTCCCTTGTTAGACCTGTTATCTATCTACCTTTTATTCTTAGGCTTCTGGTCAGAGACCATTGGCAAGTCCTAGGTGGAAAGATCTGCTGCAAGTTCCCAAAGCCCCCTGCACCAGCGTGATCTGCTAGGATTTTAGTGTCTTCTTAACCAGCTAGGAAGGGCAGAGGGTTTAAGAACTCCTTGTGGCCAGTTTCCTGAGCAGTACGCAACCCTGACTCTAAGAATGGCCAACCACAGCAAGGAAAAGCCACGTCTTCTTGTCTTGCCAGATCTATGGTCATGTACATCTGCTGCCATGGGAAACAGGACCTACTGATCCGAAAACAGGCTTCTGCCCAGTGAGCTGAAGGAGATGCTCCATTGGGTTACAGCTCTTATTGATCTTTAGCCACTAGGCAGGGGGAAAAAACCCTTCTAAACCGGGGAGGGCTGCGTCCAGCAAGTAGAGCTGCACGTATGCATTAACCACTCCATTCCACCTCTGCTGATCATAAGCTGGATCCCAGGTTCTAAGCCGCAGTGGGACAGTAGCAACAGGTACCAATCAGCCCTTAGAGATCCCAGCTTTGTCCCTCTGAAGGTTTTTTTAATCCCATGGTTTTAATTTTGTCCAATTTCCCTTTTTCAGAAAATTTTAGTGATGCCAAACATGGATGATCTCATCATTCCCATCATGCACTCCGGCTTGGAACCCCAGCCCTCCATGGAGGGGCCGTTCAAGGACCTTCCAGCGGATAGCCAGAAGCGGCTCTGAAGAGTGACCCACTGGCTGGGTCAAGACACTTGGCAGAACTCTGGAGGATTTGCTGAGATGCCCAGCTAACCTGGGCCTGGCCACTGGTCGCCACACAGGAGCCAAGATGCTGATCTGAAGTCTCCGAGTTCATCTCTCCATCTTGTCTTCAGCATCCCCCAGCTCAGCAAAGGAGCCTCTTCTTCAAATGTGATGCAGAACATTAAGGACAGAAACATACACCCCCAGGGGAGGAGCAAGTTGGAGTCACCCAAGCATACAAAACTCCAGGTGGCTCATCCATCACCACCAGGTTCCTCTGGATTAATACAACTCCCTTGTGGCCAGATGGGCATTTTCTGTGCCAGCCGGGGCAGGAACTTGCTCAGCACTGTCTGCTTTACAAAGGGGGGTGCAAGAAACCCGGGGTGGGAGGGGGTTGCCTGAAGTCCAAGGAGTGTTAATCAGACGTTGCGATCAGAAATGGCCCAAGCTTATTGCATCAGCACTGGACACCCTTTAAATGGGCAGCCGGGTCTGCCAGGAAAACTGCAGGCAGGAAATGAACTGAAACACAGACGAAACACCCATAACCCTCATTGCCCCTACAAGTGTTTTATTGTACTCTGAGTCTCACCACCACCCAGAAGGCTGAATGGAATTGTGGGTATCCCTACGGCATCCACACAGATTAGACACATAACAGTGAGGTTACCTGGCTCTGACAGCCCCAGCCCTGGGGAAGGGAGGACCATGTGCCCATCAGCCTGGGGTAGAGCACATAGGAGGTACAGGCAGGGATGCAGAACCCTGCTCCTGGCCAGCCAATGGCTGTCGCAGGGGTTTAGTTGAAGGGGGAGACTGGGGAAAGCAGCCATTGATGGTAACCAGGCAGTACTGGTGCAGGGAGGGGCTGAAATAGTCACATGTCAAAATCCACTGAGTGTTTCAGCAGGTGAAGTTGGGGCAGAGGGTAGGGATGTGGGGGTGAACCTCCCAATACCTAAGGGGGGGGGGGGGAGCGCTCAGTACGTGAGGGAAGGGAGTGGAGGGGAAGTCCTATGAGCCCCAGAGAGAGAGAGAGCGGTTTGTAGACAAAAAGGGAGGCAGCATTGTCAGCTGCCCGGGTCCAGCCCTTCCTCAGCTAATGCCCTTCACCCAGGCAGTGTACCCTGCACCGGGGAACGCAGGAGGCTGTGGGAATGCCTGGGCACGAGGCCCTGTGCAGGTCAGGGCTCGTGGCAGCACCTCTAATGGGTCAAAAGCAGGGGAGGAGACAGCAACAGCCCTCTTCTCCCACCCCTGGCCTGGGGGAGCCCCAAAATGGAGGGCTGGAGCGAGCCAGCCGGCAGAGGAGGCGGGGATCGGGAAGCCGGTGGAGCAGAGGTCGGAGGGGGATCGAGTGGTGTCTGTCAAGCTTTGCAGGGCACCAGCCATGTGACAGCACTGCCAGGCATTAAGGGATTAACTCTCCAGCTGGCACAGCTTCCCTGGCCTGCCCTTGTCCTCACTGACGCTCACAGACATTGCGCCCCGATTCCCTTCTGCCCCCGGAGTGACCCCTGATGGGGCCATTAGCAGGAGAAACCTGGGCTCCCTTGGTATTGAGCCCCTCTGCACGAGGCCTGTGCCCCACTGAAGCTGGCCCCCTCTGCCTTGCAGTGAACAAGACAGAGAGAAGTAGTCTCCTACCGGCATTTTAGTTTGCTCTGGGCTTCCTCGCTGTGGCGCGTTTCAGGAGAGACGCATCTCAGCCGCCAGCAATGCCACAAGCATCTGAAAACACCAAGAGGACCAGCCCTGTACGGGACAAGGATGAAAGGCGCCCATCTGGACTACAGCATGAGGTACGAAGTGGGACCATTTGATCCTCCATGCAATAAAAGTAATAGATTCTGTCAAGTAACATCATGGCACCCTGTTAAAACAAGGGGCTTTGCAGACTGGGTGGATGTGTAAGAGAAGAGCCCAACTTAAGCAATAAAGTTTGCATTCATCCACCAGGGATTCAGCCTGGGATGTGTTTGTTGTTGTTTTCCAGTTATATTTATTGTGCTTCACCTCTATATTGCCATTTCAGTGTGGTTTTTCTTTGCAACCACTCACTAAAGACCAGGATGTAGAACTAACTATCCATGGTCCATCTAGCCCAGTAGCTCATCTTCCAACAGTGGCCATTGCCAGATGCTTCAGAGGGAGTGAATAGAACAGGGCAATTTATTGAGTTATCCATCCCCTGTTGTCCAGTCCCAGCTTCTGGTAGGTGGAGGTTTAGGGACACCCAGAGCATGGGGTTGTGTCTCTGACCATCTTGGCGAATAGCCATTGATGGACCTATCCTCCAAGAACTTATTTTTGAACCCAATTATACTTTTGACTTTCACAACATTCCCTGGCAATAAGTTCTATAGGTTGATTCTGCATTGTGTGAAGTACTCCCTTGTGTTTGTTTTAAACCTGCTGCCTATTAATTTCATTGGGTGACTCCTGGTTCTTGTGTTATGCGAAGGGGCTATACCTCCTTAGTTGTCTCTTTTCTAAGATTTCCCTTTACAAAAGCCATGTTGACTCTTCCCCAACACACTGTGTATGTCATGTTCATCTATGTGAATGATAAATTCTGTTCTTTATTTGCTTGGTACTGAAGTTAGGCTTACTGGCCTGTAAATGTCAGGATTGCCTTTGGGGCCCTTTTTAAAAATCAATGTTACAGAGGCTAATTTAAACAATAGGTTCCGTAGCAGCTAGTAGTTTTGCAATTTCACAAATGAGTTCCTTCAGAACTCCTAGGTGAATCCCATCTGGTCCTGGTGGCGTATCACTATTGAATTGATCAATTTATTCCAAAACCGCCTCCATTGACACCTCAGTCAGGGACAGGTTTTCAGATTTCTCACCTAAAAAGACTGGATTAGGTGTGGGAATCTTCCTCACATCCTTTGCAGTGAAGACCGATGCAAATAATTCATTTTTGTTTCTCTGCAATGACCTTTTTTCCCCTGAGTGCTCCGTTAGCATCTCGATCATCCTGTGGAACCACTGATTGTTTGGCAGCCTTCCTACCTCTGATGTACTTAAATTGCTGTTAGTTTTCCAGTCTTTGGCTAATTGCTCATCAAATTCTTTTTTGGCCTGCCTAGTTATACTTTTACACTGGACTTGTCAGAATTTATGTTCCTTGCTATTTTCCTCAGTAGGGTTTGACTTCCACTTTTGAAACCCTGTCTTCTTGCCTCTAACCGCCTCTTTTACTGTGTTGCTTAGCCACAGTGGCCCTTTTTTTGGTGGTCTTACTATTTTTTAACTTGAAGACCTATTGTTTGAACCTCTATTACGGTGGTTTTCCAAAAGTTTCCATGCAGCTTGCAGGCATTTCACTCATGTTCTTTTTCATTTTCATGTAACTCGCCTCCTAGTTTTTGTGTAGTTGCTCTTTTTGAAGTAAAATGCTACTGTGGTGGGTTTCTTTGGTATTATTCCCCCTGCCCATGAAGTTAAATTTAATTACATTAGGGTCACTATTACCAGTCGGTTCAGTTATATTCACCTCTTAGACCAGATCCTGTGCACCACTTAGGACTAAATCAAGAATTGCCTCTCCTCTTGTGGGGTCCAGAGCTAGCTGCTCCAAGAAGCAGTCATTAATGGTGTCTAGAAATTTTACCTCCGCATCCCGTTGTGAGGTGACATGTTCCCAGTCAATAGGGGCATAGTTGAAATCCCCCATTATTATTGGATTTTCTGTTTTTGTAGCTTCTGTAATCTTCCCGGGTATTTCAGTCAGCATCACCATCTTAGTCATGTGGTCAGTAGTAAATTCCTACCGCTATGCTCTTACTGTTCACGCATAGACTTTCTATCCATAGAGATGCTGTGGTATTGTCTGATTTATTTAGGATTTTACTGTGTTTGACTCTATGCTTTGTTTCATATAGTGCCACTCCCCCCCAGCACAACCTGCTCAGTCATTCCTCTATATTTTGTAACCTGGTTTTACCGTGTCCCATTGATTATTATTGTTCCACCAAGTTTCTGTTATGCTTATTGTATCAATATCCTCCTTTCATGCCAGGCACTCAAATTCACCCATTATATTATTTAGACTTCTTGCATTGGTATACAAGCACTTATAAAATGTGTCAATATTTAGTTGTCTGCCTTCATGTGATGTAATTGAATGGGATTCTTTTTTATTTGACTGTTTCTCTTCCATTCCTACCTGTACTTTACCAACTTCTATCCTCTCCTCCTTACTAAGATATAGAGTATCCCCTTTAATAAATCTCAACACCCCCCACCACCACCAAGGGATGTGTCTGTCTGAGGTCCCCACATGGTCCTCCAAACCTGTCGGCTTTCCCCCCAGCCCTTAGTTTACAAACTCTTCCCAGCTTTGGCTATTTCCCAACTCTCCAATCTATATACCTGGGTTTGCTCATCTGTAAAATGGGGATAATAATATTTTTTCCTACCTTTTATGGAGTGGTCACGAAATATTACTGACGACTTTGTGAAGTGGGTTGAAGTCCTCTGAACAGATCCAGGGCTATCTTCTCTCTTCCCATGCTAGTATCACAGAGTTCAAATGGTGGCCTAACCTCACACCATTCAGACTGGAAATAAAGTGTAAATTTGTAATGGTGAGAGTAATTAACCATGGGAACAATTTACCCAGGATTGTGGGGGATTCTCCATTACTGACAATTTTTAAATCAAGATCAGATGTTTTTCTAGAAGATCTGCTCTAGGAATTATTTGGGGGAAGTCTCTGGTCTGTGTTCTACAGAAGGTCAGACTAGATGATCATAATGATCCCTTCTGGCCTTGGAATCTATAAATTTATGATCATGGCTCTGAGGGGACACGCTAGGGTGGACACCTGTCATTCAAACACAAGGGAGAGATTTTTGATTGCTCAGCGTCCTTTTCGGAGAATAACGAGCCAGTCTCCTCTCCTGTTCTCTGCTCATTTTTTTTCTGTTCTAACTGGGTGCCAGCCCGACTTGGGGCTCTGTAACGATTTGTGACAGGTGACGACGCCGTCCCAGCCACGTTCACTTCTCATCTCCCCCAGCAAAGGCCTGTGACAAGCAGCAACGCAGATGGACAAAGCTGCATCCTCATGAGCCCCTGCAGCAGCAAAGTTCCTGCCTGTCTTCCCGTGTAATCAGCTGGGTAAAATGTCAGCTAGCGACAGTGCAGGAGGGAGCCAGAGCCCTCCCCCCACCTCCCTCCTGAGGCATGTGAGCACAAATCTCTTTAGACTAGTCCTGCATGAAAGGACATCTCTCTTACCCTCCCAATCAGTACCAATGGGAGCCTCCCCCTCCTTCTGCAACTGGCACAATCCTGGGCCCCTTCTAACTGCCCCATCTCCCGATTTGTACAATGGATACTTCCCCCACCACCACCTTGAGATCCAGGGATGAGTAGCTCATAGACCCATGGGGTTAGAAGGGACCATCTAGCCTAACCCCCTGCCAAGATGCAGGATTTGTTGGGTCTAAACATCCCAGACAGATGCTGTCCAGCCTCCTTTGGAAAACCTCCAGTGAAGGAGCTTCCACAACCACCTGAGGCGTCTGCTCCATTGGCCGACTGTTCTTACAGTTAGGGAGTTTTTCCTGAGCTTTAATCTAACTTGGCTGTGCTGTAGTTTGAACCCTTTGCCTCTTGTCCTGCCCGCCGTGGCAAGAGAGAACAACTTTTCTCCATTCTTTTTATGGCAGCCTTTCAAGTATCTGAAGACCGCTTTCATATCCCCCTTAATCTCCTCTTTTTAAACTAAACACACCCTCTTCCTTTAGCCTTTGCTCATATGGCTGCATTCCACCCCTTTGATCATCTTGGTCGCTTGCCTCTGGCTCCTTTCCAGTTTCTCCACCTCCTTTCTATACCTTGGTGACCCAAACTGGACAGTCTTCCAGCTGAGGCCTAACCAGCACCGAGTAGCACTGGGCAAGTGTGTCTGGAGCTGGGGATGAGGCTTCCTGGGGAACTTCTTACTCTCCACTGCTGCTGTCCAGGAAAAGCAGGTTCTTCAAGGAATTCACCTAGTTTCAACTTCCAAAAAAAAGTATCCCCTCCTTGTTGGACCCTTTTTTCTGGAAGTTGAAGCAAGACAAATCCAGACTGGAAATAAGGTGTAAAGTTTTACCAGTGAGGGTAATTAAATCATTGAATACCTTACCAACGGTAGTGGGGGAGTCTCCATCACTGGCAATTTTTCAATCAAGATTAGATGTTCTTCTAAAAGATCTGCTCTAGGAATGATTGTGGGGCAGTTCTCTGGCCTGGGTTACCCAGGAAGTCAGACTAGATGGTCACAATGGTCCCTTCAGGCCTTGGAATGCGTGAATATGCATTCCACTGAAGTTATAGGAAGTGTACTCACTTCCACCCAGTCTGCATTTTGTCCTTGGTCACATACATACACAAAGCCATGATGCTCTTGGATACAGTTCTGCTCTTGGATACAGCAGTGTAAATCTGGAGTAGCTCCAGTGAGGTCAGTGGAGTCACTCTGGATTCACAGATCAGTGTAGCCAGAAGCAGACTGTGACTGATACTAGTGAATCAGTCACAGTAAAAATCCTCTCCAATACCTTGTCTGACCCTTCCATCCTTCTGCCCTAGGAATCTATGAAAGATGCAATCATCCTGCCCAAACGAGGCAGGGCAGAACCAGCCTTGCTGACATGCCCGGCTTTTCCAGGCCTTACAGGATTCATCTGTGCCAGCTCTTCTTTTCCTCTCCTGAAACAGATGCCAGCCAACAGGCACTGAGGAGGAAGGGGAAGCCTGGTCAGCTGGGGTCTCACCTGGGAGTGAAAAAGCAAAAGCAGCATCTCAGTTGCAGATAAAATCCCCCAGCTGGTGCTCCCGGTAGAGCAGGAGTGCCTCTGACATGCTTCTTCTGCAGCTTGCAGGAGGATTCCTCCCACTCCTGGCTGTGCCCAGTATAGCAGGAAAGATGGGAGAACTTGGTGACCTGAGGGCAGGCTTTGGGCCCAAGCCTCCCTCCATGGAAGTCGATAGCAAAACTTCGATTGACTTTAAAAAGGGGCAGTTAGCTAATGAATCCCAGAGCAGACTTATTATGCCCACTGGAAAGAGCCCTGCGTGGAGCTGCGCGGTCATCTCATTTCTGGGAACAGCCAAGGGAAAACGGCTTCTCCTTGCACTGCCAGCAAGGGTAGTGTACAACTGATGCCTTGTATCTCAGAGTGCCAATGGCCATTCCCTAGACAGCATGAAAGAATTAGAGGGCAGGATCTAGGGGTTGTCCCTGAGTCCCCAACAGACCCCTATACAGCTCAGCTAAGAAAAGGCATCTCCAGGGATCGGAGTCTCACTGGACCAGTTTCCCCCATGACTGTCTTCTCAGCAGCCCTGTGGATCTCAATACATGGGGAGAAGACTCTGGGATTGACTGATACCAAACTCCTCTTACACCAGACACTGAAAACAGGGACTAGTTTAAGCTTATTAATAACGGCACCAGAAGAAGACAGAACAGCTTAGGCCTGGTTTGAAGTCCCTTTATTGGAGGTGCCAGGTTACAGTGGCCATGTGTAATTCAATCCCCTACAATTCTTCCTGGGTTTCTGGCTTCTCCTTCACCAGCTGTTTCTTCTGAGGGCCCTAAAACACAAATGAACAGGTGAGAAGAAGAGATCCCATCACCACTAGCTGATGAGTTCAAGATCCACATTACAAGCCTTCCCCAAGTGTTACCTAGAAAGGCAGTAGGTGAGCTGGATGCTGTGGAATTTCTATTCAGATGTGACCACTTTTCACTGCACAAGGCTTGCAACACAAGCTGTTCATTTCTATTCCCTGGCTGCGAACTCTCAGCTCTCCTCCTGAACGGCAGCATCTGTCTAGCTGTGGTCTCTAGAAACCCTCCTAACCCTGGAGGAATGGGGGTAATGAATTGCCTGTCCCTGGACTGGCAGTTTGCTTAGCTGGGCAGCATGGAAAACTTCAATGACTGGTTTGCTACTGAGCCCAGCAAGCTGGCCTGGGGTGATTGGGAAGATTGAGTGGTAAAGTAATCATATTGATTACATTATAGCATCATGACTGTGACCAGATAGATGAGGTTGTGTCAGGAGAATTTCCTATACAATCCTGTTTCAGGAGATTGCATATGACAACTCCTTCTGAGCAGAATTTTGGAGTAGGGGTTTCTGGTTTGGGTTACCATCAAGGGGATAGATTCTCAGCTGAGTCAATGGAGCTACACAGATTTACACCTGCTGAGGACGGGGTCCCAGCTCTTCTAGTTTACAAGAGAGGGAGAAAATGGTGGTCCGTGCTTTGTGGGGCTATTGTTTTGCTTCTGCCCAGCTAAATGTTACTGAATTAAATTAAAATGTGGGGAAGGTTCTGGGTGCTCAGCCCTCAACAGGTGAAGTTCAGCTGCTTCAAGATAATGGGTTTAATAGAGCAGTATTTCTGTGGCCACTTAGGACTTAATCAATGTCACCATGCTGCCACCCTGGCCACTCAGAGGTGACAGCAGGGACAGAACTCATATCTTCCTGCTCCATAAGCTCAGCCCCCTAGCACATGAGCAAAAGGAGAATCTCCAGGAGTGGTCAGTGTCGAAGCTGCAGCCCTGTGCATTAACCTCCAGCCATCCCGAGAGTGGTGTGAAGGGGTTTTATAGCCAGTCCTTCTTACCTGGAGAGAAGTTAAACATATGTGAAACTGACTAGTCTAATACTCAATCGGCCAGATCCAAACCTGGTGTAAATCAGCATCGCACTATTGAAGTCATGGAGCCATGCTAATGCACACTGGCTGAGGATCTGGTCCACTTAGTATCTAGTCAATTTCACTTTCAGATTTATCCCACAGCACAAGGCGGTGGCGGGGTAGGCTGCAAACACTATAAAGGAATGTCTGTCTGGTTTTTTGTTTATAAACCCGTTTCTGCTGAGATTTTTAAAATGTATATGATTTGGGTATTGAAAAGCTTATTTACACAAAATCCCAAATATGAGGCCAAATCCGACCTGACCTTTTTCCTTTAAAAACATTAAAAGTTTAAGGCAGTCCAATCAAATCAAAGAAATGTACAATTAGGAGTGAAAGACACCATATGTCCAACAAGATGCTACCAACTTAACGGCTTGTTGAATGCACTGTGAGTGCAAACTGGTTGACCATATGGTACATTATTTGCTGGCTTTGGCTAGCTTGTATGACTCTCTCAACCATCATGTTCCCTCTTTAGCATTGTTTCTGGCAGCTGAACTGCCCTTTATGCAAGACAGTCCTGTTCATTGATTTGGTGGTCTTTATTTTCTGGGTCAGGTCGTCAGCTGGTGTTAATCGGTGTAGCCGCCTTTGAAATCGATTGAGCAAGGTTAATTCACACCAGCTGAGAACCTGGCCCTCTGATTGCAAAGCCAGCAGAGAATTAACTCACCATGAAAGCTCTCTTCTCTTGAGAAGTCTGGAAGCAGCCATGGCCAAACTTGGAAGTGGTATCAATGAACTTCAGTTCGATGGGTTCCAGAGCCCGACGGCTGCTGTGCACTAGAAGGGACTGGAGAGCAAAAGTCACAACACATTAGGCTTATGTTTAACCAGAAAGATGAAAGCATGCTTTGATGTGGGTGGAGTTAAGACATTTCATGCATGTCCATTAGCCAATCACTCCAGCAACAGTGGTTTCCTCCGAGACACACCCCGAGTAGCTTTCAGGGTAGCAGCCGTGTTAGTCTGTATTCACGAAAAGAAAAGGAGTACTTGTGGCACCTTAGAGACTAACCAATTTATTTGAGCATAAGCTTTCATGAGCTACAGCTCACTTCATCGGATGCACCCGATGAAGTGAGCTGTAGCTCACGAAAGCTTATGCTCAAATAAATTGGTTAGTCTCTAAGGTGCCACAAGTACCCAGAGTAGCATGACTTTAAGTGCCCTTGCCTCTCAGTTCCCACTTGGAACTGAAATGAAGTAGCAGAGTGTGTCAGATTATTCAAGGACCGCTTCCAACAAATGGCAAAACAGTTCTTAAGGGAGACGAGACTGGCTGATCTGAAACTGGAAACACCATATCAGTGAGAATGGCCTGGCAACACACCTCTCTGGGAAATGGCCCCCTGGAAAATCACTACATGACTCACAAAATGAGGTCCTTCCTTACGCACAGCCTCTGCACTTACTTTCGAGGGGGGAAGGAGGGGTTACCTTTCTGAGAGTGAGCACCCGTTTCTTAGTGCCCATGACGCAGCCCTTCAGCATGATGAAATCATTGTTGACTGCACCGTAGTGAGGAAATCCACCCTGCAGGAAAAGACAGAGGACAAATTGCAGCGGTGAAATGTGTGGCTAACAGATCTGCATCAGGAAGTGACATCTGCTATAGCAAAGCAGGGTATTTATTATTTAATTATTAATCATCCTTCTTATTAACTAACCATTAACATGCTTTGCGCTTATCGTACGCAGTGCAGCCCGTCCGTGAGGTCTACAAATACTATTACCCCCATTTTACACGGGGGCAAGCTGTCACAGAGGATAGAGCTGGGGCTGCAATCTTTTGTTCAAAACCATTTTTTTTAAATGGGAAATAGACTTTTTGTCCAAACTGACATTTCCAACTTGGATGAGATTTTTCTGGGTTTCTGCTGACAAACCAAAAGCCTGTAAGGCAAAAAATGCCAGCTGAAAACAATTGTTTGTTGTTGTTTTTTGGATGTGGAAAAGCAAAAATGTTGCAACTTTTGGTTACTAAAAAAAACAAAACAAAACAAGGAATTAAAATCAAAATTCATGTGGCCAGAAAAAATATTTCCCAACCAGCTTTTCCCCAACAGAAACCTTAAGTGACTTGCCCCAGGCCATGTCTCTGGTCAGTGGCAGAGTCGGGAATGCAGAAGTCCCAGCTCCAGCCCCAACACTTCCTATTTCTTTAGCCCTTTTACCAGCGGTGTGATCGTCTTCTCAGTGACATCGTAGTTCGTCGCGGCACTGTTCTTCACTATTTTGCCATCTTGTATGTGGACCCCACGGCCAATACGGTAAATCTGGGTGAGAGCCCAGGTTGAAATGGAGTTAATGGCTTTAGGACACAGTTACAAACAAAGTGTCACCAACCAAGCACAAAAAACAGAGATGCCAGGTGGGGATAAAACACATAGGCTCATCTCAGATGTTGTCAGCAGGCAATGGATAGAGTACATCCCTGCCCATGGGCATGGACCACTGTGTCTGGACAGCGCCTAGCACAATGGGGTCATGGTCAGTGACTCAGGCTCCCACGCGCTATGGTAATAAAAATAATCAACAATAATAACATCACCAAACAAAGCCTTAAATTCCCTCCTGCCCTGAAATTACATGCATGACAGAGAGATGGCCCAGTACAGGAGAGGAGAGGGAAGGGGGCTCGAAAGGAGGAGAAACTGCACTAGGCCCAAGGGAGGTGTCACATCGGTGTCATACCTTCTTGTTGAGCTCTGTGCGATGGTGGTAGCCCTTCTGGCCAGCCCGGGCAATGGAGTAGCCCACCCGGGCTGGATGCCAGGCTCCAATGCAGGCCACTTTGCGTAAGCCTTTGTGAGTTTTCCTTGGGAGCTTCTTGGCATGCCAGCGGCTGGTTACCCCTAGGAAAGCAGGACGGGATGATACTATAGGAGGAGCCAAGGGGGACAGGTGGTGGTGCTTCAGAGCCAGAAATCAGAGCGAGTGACTGGGGGGTTTGTCTTATGTTGCATCTCAAGTTATGAGAAGACGGTGGGTCAGATTGAAGCAAACAGCCATTTTCAGAATCGGGGGCCCATGGACAGAACTGTACTCACTCCGCATTGAACTGACTGGACTACGGTGTGTCCCCCGCACATGTGCGCACACACACACTATGGTTTTGTCAGCACTGAAATGACCTTTTGTCCTTATTTTGTTTACCTCAGATTTCGGCAGGCCAAGTGCCCTTAGGGCTCCCATGAGAACTAAGCCCAAAACTAATGACAGGGCATTTTGAACCTGGTAAACGGAACCAAATCTGCTAAAAAGAGAACAGACGTATGGGAACAAATCCAGCGACTCTTTGGTGTCCCTCGTGAACTGAGGTGTGGGGCCTCTCTGTCTGGCTGCTGCTCAGCTGACATCTCGAGGACGACCACCTCTACTGGCACTAATTGTCCACCCCCCCCGTCGATCATCTCGGATGATGAAATAAGGGAGTGAGAAATGAACCCCCATCTTGTCCTCCAGAAGAGGACCCCCAGGACATGGGGGGTTGCCGTGTACTGTCTGTGGGATGCTCGCACTACCATTGCCTCTGTTGTACCCGCTCTGGGACTAGGCATTTCACCAACACTAAAAACAATGTTTTAAAGAAATGTACAGTCAAAATAAAGTGGAGTCTGTTCTCCTGTGGATGTCACACAAGGTGAAGCTTTATGCATCAATGTTAATTATTCACAATGATGCATAGATTCTTCACTGTGTTTAATTGTGAATTACTATTAATTAGATGAGGTCAAGAAGCCATGCCTTGACAATCACAGATTAGTAAATAATGACTATTAATAATAATATTAAGTCCTCAGCACTCGTATGGCTTTTTCATCCACAGATCTTGAAGCACTTGACATAGCTGTCAGTGTCACTATCTCCATTTTACAGATGGAGGAACTGAGGTGCAGAGAGGGCATGCAACTGGCTCAGGGCCACAGAGTGAGTTGGTCTGAGCACTGGGATTATAATTTAGGTCTCCCGACTCCCCGTCCTGTGCTTATTCCACTAGAAAATGGCCTCCCCCAGGAGCATCAAGGAGGCCTCACAGCACAATACCCACGCAATGTGTAAGCATCCCTCTGCCCATCCTCCTCAGAGGATCCATGCCAAGCCCCATGGCAAAGGACCCTCCCTCCCCCTGTACCTTTCATCCCGCGCCCCTTGGTCACCCCGATGACGTCGATCATTTCGTTCTGGCTGAAGACTGCGTGCACAGAGACCTGCTTCTCCAGCTTCTCGTGAGCCCAGTCCACCTTGTCGGCCACTGTCCCGCCATTCAGCTGAATCTCCATCACGTGGGCCTTCTTCTGACGCAGCGGGAGCAACTTCATCTGCATTGGGCAGCAAAGGCCAAGAAATGACACCAGGCCTGTGGGTGTGAACGTGTTCCCAGGGGCAATATGTTCCCAGGGAGGAGACAGGGCCAGCTTGGACCCAAGCGGGCTGTTTGCAGTTCAGTCTGCCTGAGTCTAGCTAATCTGTCTACCCAGGTGTACGTAAAGCACCCACTCACTGTGCTGTCTCCCCAGCAGCGAAGCCCTAGATGTGGCATTTCAGGGTCTCTTATGCTTTTATTATATCTCAGCAGGGCTGCAGACTCCTGGCTGGGGAGGGGGAGAAGAGCACTCACCGGTGGGGGGTCCATTCGCCCTGGGAAAGAGAGAGGCAAGCAGGTGGCACCTGGCTTTACTCTCCTACCACCCCATCCAGCCAGCAGCATGAACAGGACTCCGAGGGAGCTGCCTCCAGCCCCTGCAGCTTGGGGACAAGTCAGCCTGAGAGAGAGAGGATGGAACCGAGAGAGGGAGAATCCTAGAGGGTCCCCCACAAACTAAACCCTGATGGGGAAAAATAACCCATCAAGCCATGAAGTGTCTGTTGTGTGAGTGAGACACACCCAGTGCGCACGCTCACTGAGCACACGCATGCGCACACACTCACTAAGCACACACACACTTTCACTACGCATACATCCCCATATGTGTGCACACATTTATATATGCATGCGCACACAGCATATATGTGTACACACATACTCTAAGCGCACACATGCGCACACACTAAGCACACATCCCCATGTGTGCACACAGCATGTGTGTATACACACATGCACGCACACACGCACACTTTCACTAAGCATATATCCCCTATGTGTGCACACATCTATATACGTGTACACACACACGCATATACACTAAGCATACACACTCACTAAGCACGCGGTGTGGCTAGGAACAGAGCGAAGCCCACCCTTCCTGGGGCAGCCAGGCACAGACAAATGGAAACTGGGCTCTGCTAACTAGCATTCACTGTGGAGTGCTGCAGAGAATCCTCTGAGCCCAGGGGCTGGATGGATTTTAACGGGAGCCTATCTGTGGGAACTGTGGGCGTCGCTGAAGCTGACCAGCTGTGCAGCAGCAGCATGGATACAACCACAGGGCCAAACCCCCCAGCCCTTACTTATAGGGGCAGTCCTAGCAGCTCCAACGGGACTATTCAGAGGCAGACTGGGGACTAGCCCAGCGGCGTTTTGTGCTATCGGCCTGCATTTCCAGCTGATTACTCTGCACCGTGGGCGGCCTTCTCCTCTCCCCAGCCTCAGCAGCACTTGCCAGCCCCACCAATGCAGCTCAGACCGATGCAATCCCACAAACGGCCGTGCGACCAGCCCCAGGCTCCCCAAGACTATCCCCTCCTCACGGTGCTAGAAGGCAGCGCTGCGGCATCATCTTCCCTCCCAGCGACCTCACGCGGTGTCACATCCCACTTTTCAAAATCAGCTGGTAGTGATGGCTGCAGCCCGGCCTGTCCATGTCACGTGGCCAGACACAACTTTAGAACTGCTGTGGCAAGCTGACAAGTCCGAACTAGCCCAAAGGGAGGCCTCTGTGCCCTCGGGCCAGCCCAGATCCTCCTGGGCTCTGAGGAGTTGAAAGCTCCCTAAGGATCCAAATTCAAATAGCCCCTGAATATCCAGTCGCTCTGGCACCTGGCAAGCCCTTCCCTGCAGCCAGGCTCACAGGTTATTTTTACCCCATCACCTGACACCAGTTGCTAATTTGAGATGAACTCATCAGTGGGCCTCTGACCCTTGCCGGGTGCCAGCGTTACACCGTTCACTGAGGGGCTTGGGAGCGATGCCTGCTCCCTCCCAACGAGCTTGCGAGTGCCTCTGGCACTTCCCACTGCGAGCCCTGTGGCTTCTCCGGGGTCCCGAGCAGCAGCAAGAAGATGGAAAACCCCAGGCCCAAGCCTTCCACAGGAGTCGGGGTGTCAGTGCCAGGCTCCTGGGAGAATCCAAGTGTAGAGACTTCCATTGTGCCCGTTGGATTCCCTCTTGCACTTTCAAATGGACAAGGTTGCTCTCTGGTAAGTGGCGGCAACGGTCAGCATGCACCTCCTGCAGCATGCACATCCCACATCTCCAGCACCCACTAACCTGCCTGCTACTCCAATCCCCGGACCAGTGACAAGAGGCCCCATCCCCCTCCCAGCCAACAAGACCCTCCATTCCCCTCCAGTGATGAGAAGTGCCCTGATTCCCACTTGCTAGTTGCTCTCAGCTTCCAAGCCCTCACCCCACTCAAACAGGCTCCTGGGGTCAAGCCACACACCCTGTGTGAAGTGCTGACCTGAGTGTGGACGATGACTCGAATGATCTTGCAGTACTTCTTCATGGCCGCAAAATCCTTCTCTAGCTGTTTCTTCCCGTCCTTGTCCTGCCATTTTTTGCAGTACTTGGTGAAGGCCTTCTTCTTACTCTTGTGCCTAAGGACAGGAGCCTTTTAATTATGCTGGAGACTGGAATAATGAAGCACAGAATCTCAGAAACACAGTGCAACATGTGTGACAAGGTTGCTTAAGTGCTTAAGGCATGCTATTGGAAGCATCATGCATCCATGGCTCATTGCACCAAGCTGACGTGAACACATGAGACCATTAGAGGGAGCTCAGAGTAGGAAATGGTGAAAGGACATTAATGGACTGACAGCACTTGTAATTCTGGCAGCTTTTTTTATAGAGACTCCAGTTGATGCCCACTGATTTGCTCACTTAGTGAAGTTAAAATACACCAACAAAAATAGAGCTAAATAGAAATGAGACAAACCAGTCTCTCTAGTGAGGATCACGGACATTTTAGGGGCCAGATTTGAAGGCATGTCTACACAAGTATTAAAGCCATAAGTTTGCTCAATTACAAAGACTCAAGCGATCACTTTCCCCACTGCCGCTCCAAGATTTGGGGAGTCAAGCTCTACAATGGTGCGGAAGGGCCACAGGCTAGATTTTGCTTTAATTTACACCCCCGGAAACCTGGAATTACTCTATTGACTTCAATGGAGTTACTTTGGTGAACCAATTACAACAGTGAGCAGAATCTGGCCTCAACTACGCGATGGATAATTAACCTGTGGAACTCGCTGCCACATCACCGAGACTAATAACTCAGTACTATTATTACACTAATCAGAAATTTGTGCGCACAAGTTTTTATTCACAGAAGCCAAAATGGTCGTGTCGCACAGCTGTGCACAATTAAACAGCTGCTGGATTTCACCCCAGAGGCGGCTGCAGATGGGCGAAGGATTCTAGTGTGGATACATTACGGGGAGCCTTTTGTGGCTAACATGGGGGTGGGGAAAGGGGACGCTGTTACAATTGCCAGGAAATCCATGCGCTGAGAGAGTCTTACCAGTTCTTGTAGAAGCGGCGTCTGCACTCATCGCTGAGGTGCTCAGCAAAAATGGTCCTGAAATTTCTCAGGCCCCTGGGGGTGTCTATGTATCCCACAAGCCCAACCACTACCAGAGGCGGAGTCTCCACTATTGTGACTGCTTCCACCTCTTCCCTCTTGGAAAGCTCTGAAATCAAAGGGTGTAACAGTGAATTCAATGTGAGTTGACTGCTCAGCGTCTCACAGGACAAGGTTCTTTCAGGGGAGCCAGGGGTGGCCAGTAATTCTCTTAATTAGATACCCAAGTTCATGGTGCTCAATGCACCTTCAACTACACTGTGTCCCAGCAGAGGGCAGCTGTCAATTGGTGTCTCCGTCTTTTATAAAAGCAAATTAGCTTAGAGCAGATGGGGATGCCAATTGCACAGAACTGGAGACCTACCTTTGTCTACTGCCCAGAAAGCAACACAACTTCCCCACCTAAACGCTGGGACCCCATGCAGAGTATAAGGGAAGTTATCCCTCCATGGGCCATTCACTGCTTGGCTTCTTTGCCAACAGGGAGCTAACTAATACCAGCTGTGCTGATGACCTTTGATATAACGTAGGAATTGCACTGAGAATGTCTAAACAGCTGCCAGATTATTTTTGGTCATTGGTGAACTGCCATTTCAAATCTAGGCTAGGTTAGAGAGGAAGGGCTCCATCACCCATTTCCAAACCCCAAGAGCTATCCATCCCAGCCGGCCATAAGTGACTTTTCCCTCTATTCTTTCCTGGACTCGAACTAGCTGATTCAATCAAAGCCTCTTACTCAGTCCTGGCCTGTGAACTTCTCGTAGGATGTGCGTCATGCCAGCTTTGTAACCCAGAAAGGCTGTCAGGTGGACTGGCTTGCTGGGATCATCCTTGGGCCAGGTCTTCACCTTCCCTCGGTGACGCCGGCTTCTCTTATGAGGGAGGAAGCCCAAGTGGCCATGCCTGGGAGCTGAAAACTTGCGATGGGACTGGGGGAAGGCAAGAAACAAAAAGGATTCAGTTTTACCTTCAAACCCAGAAGGGTATGGGCCTGAGCCAATGCTGACTGAAGACAATGGGAATCCTTGGACTTCAGTTAGATCATCTCTATGTATATTACAGATTTCAGGACAGCAGCTTGTTACATCAGGGCCCATCTGCTATATGGTGTTTAGAAATAAAAAAGAATTATATGAATTACAAAGACCATTACGTATCTCGCCGATGGATGGATAATCTCAAAGTCTTCGCAGACCTGAGAGAGGAAATTCACAAATAATTTTTTCCTCCATTTCCAGTAACAGAGGAAAAGATCTCCCTAAAGGGACAGATTTTTAAGTTTATAAATGTAGTCCCCAGCCTTTGCGTCAAAGCATTCAAGTCTCCGTGAAAACTGCTGACGAGGATTTGCTAAATAAAACACCCAGACTATAATTGTCCTTCTTTCAGCTAAGAGATACACAATGTTTTCCAGTTTTGCCCCACTTTGGCGTTCATTATTATTCTTAATATGTGTCATGGCCACACATAGAGGGCCCGGTCAGGGTTTGTACAGCATTGTGTGTGGTGCTGCACAAACCCAGAGTGAAAGCGAGGCCCTGCCTTGATGTCCATACATTCTCATCCAGACAAGCAACAGCCAATGGCAGGAACTAACAATTGGAAGACATGGGGGAGGGTGGACGAAGGAAACCATAAGAAGAACATGCACATACACAGGCCAAATATGTACTTTGTAAAGCAAACTATGAGAATTAACTAGAAAAGTTACAATCATGAACTCAAGCTGTGCATAGCAACCACTACCCCTTTGGAGGAAGTTGGACAAATTCTTACAATAGCCGCATAAAGTCGAGGTTAAGGGAATCAGCCCAGCAGCAAAGGGGTAAATTTACATTCACTACACTACAACTCCCCCTTGTTTATTCAGTAATTCCAGTACCAGGTTTCCCTTTCCCCTAAGCTTATTCTCCAACCCAAAGTGGAACTGACTGTTGATTTCAAGCCAGTTTCAAATGTACTGGTTTAATCTGCCGAATGAATACTCAAGCCATTAAATGTTCTACCCTACAAGCTACAAGACATTAACATGGAACGTTACAGACCATGGGAAGTCTTCAGCACAGATCAGCAGCCCAACGAGGCAGTCACCAAATACCTCTACAGTCTAATACCTAAGATGTTTATCAGTCTGAAGACACAAATTTAGCTCCTGGCTTCATTCAACGCTATATTCATTTCATACTCAGCAAATCGGCCAGGGTCTGACTCTAACAACAGTTGATGTGGTAAAGGTCAATTGCCAGTGTCTTAATTTACCACAGAAACAAACCGAACATGAATGGAGGGAATTACAATTGCTACCTACAGCACAATATATGAAGACAAAATTCTGCCCTCATTTACACCTAGGCAACCCCATCACTCCCAGCTAGATAACTACATTCCTAATTAACTACCTCCAGAGTTTTTTTTTTTCTCATGCACGCCTGCCCTGCTGGCAACTCCCCAAGAGCAGGGGCCTAGGCCTGGTATTCCCAAAGGGGATGTTATGATTGCTTTGTTACCCCAGGGCAGGGAAGATTCCCCTCCTCTCAGCAGTGTGATTTCCTGTACTTAGCAGCACTATATTTAGAACTATCACTAAAGGGCAGCCAACATATTCCGTGTATATACTGCTACATAAATTGGCCAAATCCTGAGCTCAGACCCCGATCCTGCAACAAGTTCCAGGCAGGTGGATCCCTGACCCCACGCAGAGCTCATCACAGGACTGGGGCTTTCAATTCATACTCAGTCCAAACTCATCCATTTCTCTAGGTACGGACAGAGTAAGAATCTCAGGGTCCCCTCCCCACCCACCAGTCCTGTATTGTCGTCTCCTGTGCTCTGTTCAGCCCAAACAATGAGGGCTTTCACACAGTCAAACAGATCGCCTGGGGAGAAGCATTTCCTGATATCTCTTTAGCCCTTTCACTGTGCAACGCTGACACAGTGTCTATTCAACAGCAGTAACATTTCTTTAAGTGATGATATTTCATTAGACCTATTCAGAGAGGACATAACAGGTGCGTAGGCCAGCATCTGGTGGTGTGCTTTAGCTCAAGTAACTAGCTGTGCAGTAAGAAAGAGGTTAAAATCTATCAGTAAAGTATAATTTAATAGCCCTTGTTTGTTTTTACTCATTTTAGTTACTTGGGATCTGCTTAATCCTTTACTTTAGGTCTTCCATAGTCTGCCTATCCGGAGGCTAATGGGATCTGACAGGATATGTAAGAGTTAATATTGTCACCCATCTCTATGAAAATCAAGACTGTTCTGATTTTCAAATATTTTTCCTGGACCCACAAACAGCAGCTCACAGAGGTCTCCAAAATATCCCATCTTTGAGCAGAAGTGGGGTGGGGAAGGGAGATGCAAATACAATCCCTTCTTTCTTGCAGGTCCATGTTGTACCATACAGTATCATGTTGTGCTGGTACTTGCACTAAATGAAGATTTTAAAAAGAGAGGCAAATTGGCTGTCTGATAGGATGCCACCCGGCCTATGTTGTTTTCTCTTTTTTTACTAGCTTGGCTGAGGTTTGCATTTGCACGAAAACCAGTTAAACCTCGACAGATGCCAGATCTTTTCATATCTTTACATTTAGTAATAAAAATAAAGCCCCTGTCTGTGGAGAAAAAGTGACGGGCGTCATCACCGGATTGTTTTAATCCTTCCAAAAACAGCCCCATGTCTCACAACAAGTGAATGTTGCCACAATATCCAGCTAAAGCATCACTACAGGTAGCCGTGGGATTGCCCACGGTTAGTCTTCAAGGGCCTGATCCTGCCCCCTTTGAAATCTAAAGGAATTTTGTCCTCGACTTAAATGAGAGCACAAATCCTTCCCCCTCCCAAAAGCTCCAGAACCACTTAACCAGGGGCCTTTCATTTTTCTCTTTTCAAAAGCTGGCAGCATCACAACACGCAGGGCTGCGTGTTCCCGTGTTTCTGAGCGCAGCAGGGCACTCTGCCCGAGGGGATCCAGCAGCGCCCGGCGGGGGTTCCCACAAGAGGCGAGTCAGGGCTGCGGACTGGGAGTCAGGACGCCGGGGTCCCACTCCTGGCGCTCACCGCAAGCAAAGGCAGAAACAAGAGCCCAAGACCCCCAGCGGGCAGAGTCGGGGTTCCTGAGCTTTTCCCGGCCCCCGGCAGGGAGTCAGGGGGCTTGCGGAGTTTGTGCCATGGGGACTAATCGGTGGTAGGGGTCCCAGAGGGCTCGTGCCGGGGGCAGGAGCCCTGGGGCCGATCCCCCGGGGTGGCACAGCTCTTTGCGAAGGGCGGTTCGAGGCTCCCCGGGGGCAGTCGCTTCGAGGCTGGGAAGGGGGTCCCAGGGGTACTGACCCACTGTGGCCCGTTCCGGCCCGCCTGGATCCCGCTCTCCTCGGGACTGAGGCGGCCCTTAGGAAGGAGCGAGGGGTGCATGGGGCGGGGACAGCATTGCTGGGGGGGGGCAGTTGCCCCCCCCATTTGCCAGGCTCTAATATAATCACATATCACGGTGCTACATGCTGACCCCCCCCCGCCGGCGCGTGCTGCCCTGGCAGAGGCTCCCGCCGGCGGCATTCTCCGCCGTACCCCTCCCCGAGGCAACGACCGGAGGAACTACATATCCCAAGGGGCATCGGGGGGATGCGTAGCGCTGCGCATGCGCTTTGTCGCGCCCCCCCCCGTTTTCTGCCCCGGAAACGAGACTCTCTCTCCCGAAGCGCCGCGCGGCAGGACGCTACCCTGGTTACGCAGGCGTCTCCGTCACCTTTGACCTTTGCCCCCCCTTCCAGCTTGTGTAGGGGGGTCGCCATCTTGTCCGGGCCGGCGGTGAAGGAGATTCCGGGCCGCTGCTGTGTCGCGATGCCGGATGACTGGGACCCGGAGGTGTACAAGGGGCTGCCGAGCCGCACCCCCGTCCCCGAGAAGCGGACGTCGCTGCCTAACCCGGTCACCATCATCCAGACCCTCTTCTACTACAGCGTCGACGCGCCGGTCACCTTCTTCCGAGGTAGCGGGCCGGGCCCCTGCCCTGCCCCGCCGGGTGGATCGGGCCCCCCTGCAGCCAAGCGGGGGTGGGTGCAGGGGGGCCCTTCCCCGCCCCTAGCCGTGCCCGGACGGCGCCCGCCTCTCCCGGCCCATCCCCGTGGAGCTAGGCCTAGCCCCGGGGCACGGCACGAACCTGCTTCGGGCTGCACGCTCGGGTCAGGGTTCACCCCGACCCCGTGCTGGGTCCCAGCCGCCTAGTAGGGGAGCCCCGGGCACCTCTCCCTGCCTGACAGCTGCTCGGCTTCATGGATAGGGTGACCAGACAGCAGCTGAAAAGGCGGGACAGAGGCTGGGGGTAATAGGCGCCTATATAAGAAAAAGTCCCCAAAAAACCGGGGCATCTGGTCACCCTATTCATGGACATCCCCAGCTGACCTGTTGCTGCCAGAGGGTCATGGGAGACCGTCCCCTCCGAGCTCCATCCCAGCCACGTGCAATCGCTTCATGATTCCCGCTTCATGAATCCCTGTTCGGTTTGTTCCCCCTGGGGCACCCGGCACTGGCCGCTGTCAGAAGACAGGAGACTGGGCTAGATGGACCTTTGGTCTGGCTCTTATGATCTGCCCCGGACAGGGCGTGGCACTCTGGGGATGTGTCCCACTCCCATCTGGCGGTACTGCCCAGTGCCAGGTTGCTTTCAGTGCCATGTGCTCTCTGGAGTCGTCCCCCCGCCACACTCCCCTTCAGGTTATGGCACTGATCCCTTATTGCTTTTTGATGGAGTCATTCATCAGTTCTGATAAAAGTGAAGAACGCTGGTTTCCCTTCCCTGGTTTGTTTTGAACTCCGTGGTAGAAAATATCAGGCTGATAACCCAGAGGGCAAGTGACCTGCCTGATTTTGTGACACTTAAGACATCGTAGTTAAGCGTTTACTGTATTTCCGTAGTGTTCCAGCTTAGCAGTCTCTCAGCAGAGTTAGTTCTGGAAAGTGATGGCAGATGGACATGCACCTGATATTATCAATCATTCCTGCCTAGTCAGTGGTACATAGGCTGTATAGAAAGTAACTCGAGATTTTGTTGCAGAACAGAATACATATTGCAAAATTCCTTTCATTTTTATTTTACAAGTCACCCAATACCTGTTAGGTTACTGAGACAATTTTTGTTGTGTGTTCTGTATGATTTCCATCCTAAACAAGAACTGTACCGTGTCCAGTAGTTGTTTTAGTTGGTTCTGTCCATCTCTTGTTTAGCAGGGTTTGAAGGAAATATTTGATTAGTACCTTGAAGGTGCATGAATGTGGTGGTTGACTCTTGCAGAATGGATTGAGCGCCAACATGCGAAGAAAAAATTTTATTACTATCATCGGAATTACGTCCGGGTGCCGGATCTAACGGAGTGCTTGGAGGATGACTACATATGCTTCTTTGAAGCTGAGGCGCAGTGGCGGAGGGACATGTATGTATATCTACTGCATAGCTGTCGTGGCTTTGGAGCCTTATTCCATTGACGAAACCTAGTGACGGGTCTCTTCGAGCACAAGATTTTTTTCCTGGCAGTAGATTGCTTGGGATTGGTATGCAGTTTTCATGTGGTTTGAAGCTGCAAAAATCAGTGGATTCCCTCCCCCCCCATGGAAGTTTAGAAGCCTGTGCCTGATTCAGTCATAGCTTGTCATAGTAGATATTCCACACTGAGGTTTCCCCCAGCTCCTGCTCCACTTTAGGAAGCTTCTCTGTGGCTAGCAAAGCCAATAAGCTTCCTTAGAAGCTTATTTCAAATATTGGGCAGCTGCTGGTTTTCATCCATCCCTGACAGAGTTACAAGTATCTTTGCTGCAGCATGCCTGAGCTGGGCTCTGAGAGTAGAACCCAAAGATCACTACTGATTCTCCTTCTCTGATGCCACTACATACGGCATTGCTGCCAGGCTCCCGGGGCTTGATTTTGCTTAGTTCTGCTTCAAAAAAATTGTATCCCCTATTAAAGCAGCTAATAAAATAGCCTCTTGTTCTATCCAGAATGTAACTTATTACAGTATTCTCCAGCTGCAGGAAGTTATTGCCACTGCTGCCGTCACACTGATCTCTCTCTCACACAGGAAAGTTGATCAGGAAATTGTGAAGATAATTCAGGAAAGGGTGGGAGCTTGCCAGCAGAGGGAAGGACATAGCTTCGTTCAGAACTGCGCAAAGGAGATGGAGCAGTTTGCTCAGGTTGCTAAAGCCTATCAAGATAGATGTGAGTAAGGCCATTTAAGGCCTCAATTTATTTGAAAAATGTTCAGGTTTGACTGTGGCATGACTGGGGGGGGGGGGGGGGAGAGAGCAGGAGAGGATGTCTACTATCCTAAACCTAACCTAAAGATTTGGAGACTGGTGCCCTCAGCTCGTGAAAGAGGGGCCCTAGAGCAACCCTCTTTGGTAAGTGCTCAGAAAGGAACTGTGGCTATGCTTTATTCAGAGCATGGGTGGGCAAACTATGGTGGCCTGCAGGATTGCCACCCCTGTGGCACCATGGGCCCTGTGCTGCTCCGGGAAGTGGCCAGCACCACATCTCTGCAGCCCCTGATGGGGGGAAGAGGGCTCCTCATGCTGCTCTTGCCTGTGGGTACCTCCCCCAAAGCTCCCATTGGCTGCCGTTCCCTGTTCCTGGCCAGTACCTACAGGCAAGAGCAGTGCGTGGAGCCCTCTTCCCCCCGGGGATGCAGGGACGTGGTGCTGGCTGCTTCCCAGAGCAGTGCAGGGCCAGGCTCAGAGCAGGCAGGGAGCCTGCCCTGGCGCATACCACTGCCATCCTGGAGCTGCTCCAGGTAAGTGGGGCCAGATCCTGAACCCCTCCTCCCTGCCTGCACCCCAACCTCCTTCCCTGAGCCACCTTGTACACCCTACACCCCTCCCTGCACACCACAGCCCAGCCCTACATTCATAGCCCTGCATGCAGTCTCCCCACCCAGATGTCGCCCTCAGGCCAAAAAGTTTGCCAACCCTTGGTTCAGAGGATGGAACTGTAACGAAGGGGGATGGATGGTATTTAAAACCTTGTTAAAGTCTTCAGTGGGGCATCAAGCTAAAACACCTGATTGAACACGTCACAGCATTTCTTCTAATCTTGTTTTAGATGCTGATCTTGGTGCCCCTGGAACTGCCAGAAAATGTTTAATGAAGCAGAAACATAGAATGATTGCAGAAAGAAAAGCAAAAGTAGAAGCAAAAGATTAAGCTCAAATCTTCAATGTGTAGTATTTGAAGTTTAAGGTTTGAATACTGTATTATGTGACAGGCTTTGAGTGGTAGCTGTGTTACTCCTCATTATATTATGTGAATCTTCTAATGTACCTGGATGCTGAGGCTTGTATGACTCAACTGTACAATAAAGAATTTGCAGAAAATATCTCTGCCAAATAACTAGGTTCAAGAGCCTATCATGCTGTCAGCCTTGCTAAGAGGTGAATATCAGCAGAACTATCAATGCCATTGTTGTAAAGAAATATGAGCAAAAACAGTGGTAGGACTCATCCTTGTACTGCAGAACACAGCAGCATTCCCTTCCCAGCCAGTTATGCACACTAGGAAAAAGTGCTCTAGCCAGGAGCAGACTGCAAGCAAAATTGTTCATCTTTATAAACTAACCAGGAAGACTTCCCTGAGTTTGGCATGAAAGCTTGAACTGTTGAGATTATAACTCAGGGGGCCCCTTCATCATCAAATGTGTCAGTAGATCAATGGTTTTTCACATTAAGAGGTCATTTTAAACATTTAAGTCCATAAACCTGTCCTTTATTTTCCCCTTGGACTCTTTTAGAAAGACAACTGATGCTTGAAAGCTGAGCACCTTTAACCATGTTAACTGGTTTTGAGGATTTTAACTTCTCCCAAGCAGATGACTTGGGAGTTTATTTTCCCCCTTGAACATATTAACTGGATAGTGCATTGTTTGTCTTTCAGTAATAATGCTCTGTATAAAACTCAGCGACTGACATATCAAAGTACATTTCTTTCTACCTTGAGATTTCCAGTTTGCTCTGAGAAAGCACTGACTGGGGATGTATTTTCATTTCAAGTCTCTGAGGGTAATTACTGCAGTTGTCTCTTCAGATAAAGTTGCTTTTGACAGCTTTAGTGACCTAGCCCTATGAACCACTACTACTGTATTGAAGAATTATCCCATCCTTGAATGGCAGAAAATTCTTAGTTTGGCTTCCAAGTTCCAAGGATGGTCCTGTAGTCTTGATAGTCTCTACAAATAATTCAAGTACTTACATGCTACTTTTGTCTAGAAGGGTACACACATTGCCACTTATCACCTCAAAGGGTGGTTGTTTTTTTTGTAGTTTTACTAGTTCCTATGTATGGTCTACATTAGTCAGTCAGATTGACTTTTCATGAAAACTACCATCAGATCCCACAGAACAAATAAGTTTTATCTGATCTCATTTCTAGAGCAGAAGACCCCCATTAGTAGTAAGGAAGTTTCAGTCTGGGCCCACATCAGTGAGTAGTGGGTATCTTTACACTAACTCCCAACAACAGTATTGTTTTAGCCATAACCTCAAAGATCTTCTGGTTTCTTTCAGCATCACTTAAGTGGGAGTCTTCAGTGCTTTACTTGCATTTGATCTCTGCTTCCATTTCTTAAAAACAGTCTTCCTAAAAATTAACCATGGCTGTTTTCATTTCAGTAATCCTATTACATGCTGATCATTCAAACCACTTCATCTTTTCTCTGAGGAAAAAAGTGTTTTCTCTGTCCCACCAGTTATTGTAAGTTGTTGAACGAGTAATGCTGTCTCTGAATTCATTTGTTTGGGCAAGTCAATCAGGAAAACTTACTTTTTCAAGTAGCAAGTTTAAGAAGTCATTCAGATGTTTAACAAATAAAGGATTAGTCAAAAGTAACTTTGGCTATTGCATCACATTTAGCATATGTTCAGCTGAACCTTTTACTGTACCCATACCTTTCACAGGCAGAGATTTCACTTAAACACAAATCCACATTGTCAGCTGACACTGCATCCCCCGGTCAATGGATTAAAAATCCACCAAACTCTTGTTTACTTTTCACTTTATTTTATACAAAAACCTTTAAGTAGTTGCCACAGCAGCTGCCTGGGTTCTCTGCACTGAGACTCTGGTGTGGGTCTTAGCCAGATGATCAGTGAATTCCTGCAAAAGAATAAGACATTTCACTGCCTTGAACCAAATGATGTTGCAGGCCTCACTGTAGAGCAGATTCATTTTAAACTAGAGACAGTTTTTACAAATTTAATTTTATCTTTCCCTGAACACTCCAAGCTCCTCCCCCCCCCAAATTATTCTCTAGCTAGCTTGGCATCCAGGAGATACCAATGACCAACTTGGAGAGCCCAGAGGAGAGCAACAAAAATGATAAAAAGGTTAAAAACTAAGGATATTTAACCTTGAAAATAAGACTGGGTGGGGCCTGATAAGTCTTCAGATGTATTATAGGCTTTTATAAAGAGGTCAGTGATGGCTGTTTAGTCCTCTGAAGATAGGACAAGTAGTAATGGGCTTAATATGCATCAAGGAAAATTTAGTTTAGATACTAGGAAAAATGACTAATAAGGGTAGTTATGGACTGGAATCCCAATCACTGAAGGTTTAAGAACAGGTTAGACAAAACCTGTCAGGAATTGTTTAGGTGTACTTGGTTTAGATGTACCTGCCTCAGGACAGGGGCTGAACTCGATGACTTCTCAAAGTCTCTTCCAGGACTACATTTTTATGATTCTATATGAAACTACATCCTCACTTTATTAACTGCAATAGAAATCTTAAGGAATTCCATGCCTAATGAAGTCAGCCTTCAGGAGTTTGGCATGATGAACTCTGAGATGAAGAACAAATGCACTGATTTAATTCTTACCTGATAAGGAGACTTGGTGAATACAGTCTCCTTCCAGAGGTCAGGGGTCAGATAACTGTAAGTCTTGGAGATCGCATCAAAGGTGGCTTTAGCTATTGAGAAAAGTCAGACATTGCACTTTGTGTTACACGGTACTAATGAGAGGCCCCAACAAGGCTGGGACTCCCTTGTGCAAGGCAAAATACAGACAGCAAAAGCCAGTGCCTGCCTCAGAGTTTAATGGTCCTCAATCTAAAAAACAATGTAGAGTTGGAAAAGGAACAGGGAGACCATATCACACGGTCCCTCTGCCGTGCATACTGAACTCATTTTATCTCTCTCTCCAATGACGACAATCACACTACTTCAGACAAGTGTAACTGAGCAGAGCTGAGAGAATTTTGAACAGAACACGTAGGAGGATGACATCTTACCATTCAATGCCTCAAAGCCTTTATTACAAGACAGATCTAACATCAGAATAAATTTTGCAAGGATCAATCCGCACTGTACAGTCTGGTAGTATCTGGGGCTCAATTCCTACTTTGATAAGGGCTTTTAATTGAACATTCGCTAAAATAAGTATTAAATAAAACAGGTAATTTAGTCATCCACTGGGAGTATATTATAAAGGCACCTAAAATGGCCAGAGGTACAGTATGATTTTAAGCCAGGCAGTTTAAACTATTAACAGATTGGACATCTGGCCCAAAACTTAACTTACCAAAGTTGCCCAGTGTAGCAGTACAACCCCTAGCTGAAGTATAGCAGTCATCAATTCCAGCCATCATCAGCAGTTTCTTTGGAACAGGGGCAGATACAATTCCTGTACCACGGGGTGCTGGGATCAGACGCACCAAAACAGAGCCACAACGACCAGTAACCTAAACAGAACAGTAGGTTACATTCAACTAACCCTATGAGAATATTTAAGCTTTGATAACTCCTTCATGCTTTGAAGTTCAGCACAGAGCTCTAGTGAAGCAAATTAGTCTTTACCTTGCAAGGTACAGTATGAGGCTTGCCAATCTTGTTACCCCAGTAGCCTCGTCGTACTGGTACAATGGATAGTTTAGCCAAGATGATTGCCCCACGAATAGCAGTGGCGACTTCTTTGGAGCATTTTACACCAAGGCCGACATGACCATTGTAGTCACCAATAGCTACAAAAGCCTAAAATTAAAAGAAAAGCTTTTTAGCTGTGTATACATGTTGCACTTACAAACCTCCTTTCAATAAGAACATACCCTATCACCCTTTTACCACCGCAGACTACATCCCACACAGTTTTTGCCCCTTGGTTATGGTAGAGTCCTTTATCTCCATCAGAATCTTGTGAATCTCCAGTCTTTCAAATTTGCTGTACACCTTTTGCGGCGGATTCTGCACTGCAACTCCAGAAGTGTAAAGAAGCTATTAAAGGCAGCAGATTTTTTCCATGGGGCAATACCCACAACTATGCCACCATCCTTGCAACTCCCCATACAGCAGGGGTGGCTGGAGCACTGCTACCTTCCATTTACTCAGTTACACACCACTCCAGCCAAGTATAAATTACAGCAACTCCAACTACTCAAATTTGTACCGGGGGCTTGTAGGCTGTTAAACCCACTTTTACCCCCAAACCCTGTTCCTAAGCCAAGAACAGGTCAGGATGAAGAGCGAATTGGGGATCTTGATTCATGAATACCCTCTGCAGCCACCTCCTGGCCAGGCTGCCTTTGAACCACTCAATGAAGAACTGGCCACACGGCATTCCCTCTTTTGGACCAAATACACTGTCTCCACAACACTCAGTTCCTGGTGAACCATACCACTATCATGCAATAAAAATGAACTGTGAATTTTCCAAAGAGCAATTTATAAGGCTACATTCAGAAGGATACAACTGGTATTCAATAAATAATGAACACAACAGTGCTTATGAGCTGACTTCTGTACATTTGGTAGGTGGGCTCATAAACATTTATGATTTATCATCTTATAATTCCAATACCACCTAATGTTGTGAACACCAGTGAAAGTAACTGTAGATTCTTTACTATCCAACAACAACATATACCAGGAGAATGAGTATCAAATCAGCCAAAAGATGGAACAGTTTCCAATTCAATGAAACAATCTGCTTCCATTTTAATCAAGAGTAAAAAGGTACCTTGAACCTGGTACGCTGACCAGCACGAGTCTGTTTCTGGACAGGCATGATCTTCAGAACCTCATCCTTCAGGGAAGATACCAGAAAGAAGTCGATGATTTCTGATTCCTGCAGGAAGCAAAGTAACTTAGTCAATCACAGTTCAAAAGCTACCCATTACCTCATGACAGGCTTAAGACAGTATTGATAATTTCTGTGCTGTGTTGCAGGAAGCTTAACAGTTCTATGTACCAATAAATATGGAGCGATAGTATTAACAAAATTTAGGTAAGATTTGAATAATCTGCTATAGAAAACAAGTTTTTAAACATTCAAACTACATCATATAATGCACAGTACAATCCAATGTACTTAAGTCAAAATAAATTTGACTTGCGATTTGAAACCTGTATTTTCCACTTTGATCACAACACAGCTGCTGCATTATATCAGGCATCATACTACCTTTACAAAGCCTATTCCCAATAACTCAAAGGAAGGCAGGAGACTCAGTCCACTTGAGACAACTGCAGTCTTCTATCACAAGGGAGCAGATGAATCCCATCTACTGTCAACCACTTAAACCCTAAAGTGGGACAGATCTTTATAATCAGAACTTCCCAAATGGCTAATGCAACACCTCTTACATTTGCAAATCAAGTTATTTTATCATCTATTAGTGAGCACTCTAATTCTGAGATACCTACACAACTGATATAGGCTTACCTTGATTGGAAGGGAGAAAAGATAAATCTCTTCAAGAGACTTGATTTTCATATCCTTGACTAGGCGACCAAGTTTGGTGACAGGAATCCACTGTAAAAAAAAGAACACCCAATAAATGTCAGTGACAAGCCAGTGTGTTATAAGCATACAAGAATTATGCTATGCCCCTTAGAGCTTTTAAGTTTTTATTTTTCCTCTAGCTTTATCAGTAACATGCATTTTTATCATTAAAGTGCAACATCAGTGGAAAAAATTGCTTTATTTAGAGCTTGAAAAAACCTTTTTAGAAAGCCAATCTATCATGCAGTAGCTATTTTCTATTAGCAATCACACAAGACTATCAAAGTATAACAGAGCTCCCAGTTATAACAATGCATTTGTCATTGATGTCCACATGTGAATATTAAAACATGTACACATCACAAAACATTAAACATAGATACGTCTTAGAACTACAGACAGAAAGAGGGCCCAGTCTTTAAAGACTAAATAAAGATGGCAGAGTTGACAAAAAGACTTACTTCTTTGTCTTCAGCTTTGCCACGGGCCCCACGCCCTCTTCCACGACCCCTGCCACGACCCCGACCACGGCCTCGGAGACCACTGCCAAAGCCACCTCGGAAACCCCCTCTTGCAGCTCCTCCTGCAGCTCCCGCACCTCCTGCGGGAGCAGCACCGGCGTCGTCCGCCATTTGCTATACAAAAGAGATAAATACATATTTACTTGTACAACTGCTTAACTTACACGGATTCCCAAAGGCAGCATAGGCACCAGGCCCGTGCAATTCCCCAAACTAAAGTGATCTGGTCTAAGGTACAACATAGGGAGCATGCCCCCTTTTAGCATTTGCTCCAGTTACCGCACTATCCCTTATCCACTTCAAACTAGCTTTTCTAAATAGATTCTTATTCTTTTTCCACAGTCCCAAGGGAATTTGGCTCCCATTTCCATCACTCCACCAGCCATGCCATCCCCAAACAGGGCACAGCCTAGAAAGGTTTCGCTAACCCAAGGTATGGTGGAAAGATACCCTCAGCGCTTTTTAGAGTAGAGCTTTCTCTACACTCTCCTCATATTGCACCAGCTGCTATCCCCGCTCTTCTCCTCAGGCCAGCCCTGGAGGCTGCACCCTGGGGTCCTACAGTGGGGAAGGGGGGTGGACTCTCCCTTTCACTGCAATACCGTCCCAACCCACCAGTTCCTCCGGGGCAGGGATCAGGCCCCAAACACCCCTGGCCCCTTCCCCGCGGGCCTCTCCCCGGCCGCCATCGAGGCCCGGCCTCTGATGGATCGTAAACGGGTCAAACAGCCCCAGCCGGGGCAGGAAATAGGCCTGTGCCCGGGAGGCGGACCCCCGGCAGAGCCTCCGCAGCGGGGCCCTGTCCCGCCCGCCCAGCGCCCAGGCCCGATGGCAGCGGATCCCCGCCCCGGCGCCGCAGCCTTACGTGTTCTCTCAGACTAGAAGGCCGCCGCCTCGCGCAGCTGGCTATTTATAGCAAACGAGGTCCCGCGAGAACTTCCCTCGCCCAGACACTGGCGCGCCCCGCCCTCTAACTACAGAACGCCTGCGCCGCTTGCCGTGATTCGGGGCCGCGCCCCGCCCCAGAGTCCCGGCTCCACGCATGCGTGGGTGGGTGGCAGCGGTGGGGCCCCGGATCGAGCGTGACGTAGACTCGCTGGGACAGTGTCCCCTGATTGGTGAACCGCTCTGGAGGCGAGCATGTGCAAAGCGCATGTGCAAAGCTGTCTGCCCCAGGCAGCTCCCAGCGAGCACGTGTTCCCCGTGCGGTGAGTGCCTGGTGCTTGGGGGGGAGGGGCGCTTTTTAAATTTCCCGCCCGAGACCGTGATTGGCTGGCGGTTGCACACGCTGTTAAGAAAAGCTTTAAAAGGCTGCGGGCTGCTCCTGTCCCCTCCCGCTGGTGGGGGCCGCCGCCGCCCGCGCTCTCCCAAACCCCCGGCAGCCGCCGGCTCGCTAGGTGAGGGGGGGGGGGGGGTCGGTTTGGGTGGTACTGGGGTGGGGGAGGATACAGCAGCCTGCGATTTGCCTGGCAGTTGCACCTGCGCTGGGGGGGGGGGCGGGATACGTGGGCGGGGGGGGGTTTGTGGGGGGAGGTGTTACCAGAGGGGGACCCCAATGTGTGTGTGTGCGCGGGGGGGGATATGGAGGCAGCATGAGGAGGAGGAGGAGGGGTCCTCCTGCCCCCCCTGGGGAATGTGACGAGGGAAAATGGGGGGGCAAGAATCTTAGCCTAATGAAGGGGGGGGTGTGGGGGGGGTGTCTGACTAGACCGTGCAGAGCACTGGGGGGTCACATAGGGGCTCTGGCAGGGGCAGTTGGGGGGGTGGTGCATGGGGGGGGGCTCTGGCAGGGGCAGTTGGGGGGGGGTTACATAGGGGGGCTCTGGCAGGGGCAGTTGGGGGGGTGGTGCATGGGGGGGTGGCTCTGGCAGGGGCAGTTGGGGGGGTGGTGCATGGGGGGGTGGCTCTGGCAGGGGCAGTTGGGGGGGGTAGGGGTGCATCTGTGGCTACTAGCTGCTCAGTCATCTCCACCAAAGCTCTGAACTTCAGGCAGGCACACAAAGTAGCTCGTGTGGCTAGGCTCGGTCAGCCTGTGACTGAAGAGGGAGGGGGGACAGCGAACCTAGCCTCCTTCCTCCCCCCAGTGGGATACTGCAGTGCTGGCAGGGAAAGCCCCCTGAAATCCTTGTTGAGGGAGAGGGAGCAGATGTTGCATTCAAGTCACACTCCCCTATCCCATGCCCCTTGCAGTGGGGGGGTGGGAGAGGCCGGATGCAAGTCCTATTCCCCTACCCAGAGTTCCTCGCAGGGTGGGTGGCAAGTTTGTGAACTTTCTGGCCCACCCACTTGACACAGCCTATCATGTTTCAGTTAAGCCATGCTTAGACGCCATTTTGAGGCTAAGCCAACAAAAGAGCAGTATGCGAACAAGAAAATGGGCAAAATATGGAAACAAATACCAAAAGGTGTGGATAAAAGAAAAGGAGTTGGAAGATTAGATCAAGTCTGTGGTTGGTGATGACAGTAAAGCTGCATGCAAATTTTGTAAAATCCAGATTTGTGCACATCATGCAGACTTTCTGCAACATGCAGGGACTGACAAACCTAAAACAAATGCAACCCCATTTTCTTCTATGCACCTGACAGATACTGGATTTACAGAATCAAAGCCTTCAACCATGATGCACCAAGCGGATTTAAATCTGGCCTGCTACATTGCCTGCCACTCAGAGATTAGTTCTGTGGATCACCTCTGGGAAGTTGTTGGATCAGCTTTCGAAAAAGGTAAATTTGCATCGCACAAAATGCATGGTGTTAATAAACAGTGTTATTGCTTCCTGTATGTTCGCTGACCTCATCGGACATTGGTGAGTCTCAGTATTTGCTGGTTATAGATGAGAACACCACTATTGCCATGGTAAAATAGCTTTGCATTGTAGTGCACTACTTCAGTTCCTCCTTCCACAAAATTGTCTACGTTTTTGGGATTAGTCAGCTTGGAAAGTGAAACGGCAGAAGCACTGATTCAGTTTCTTGACCGTGTTGGTCTGGTTTCAGCAGGTGGATTGGGATTGGAATTGATGGCTGTAGCATCATGATCGGGAAGAAAAAGTCTGTCTAGACACATCTTCTCCAAAGGAATGAGAATCTCTGTTTGATCAAAGGTATGTCACTCTATCCAGCTGTGTTCCAGTAAAGCTGTAGAAATGCTGCCAGCCAATCTAGAGGTTTTTAATCTCTCATTCCTACAGCTGGTTTTATCACAGCTCTCTGATGTGGTGAATATGTGAAGATGTACCAACTGATTAGTCACGGTAACATGCCCTGAAGCTTGGTCAGCTATCTGACACTAGATGGCTCTCCATTCATGATTGATGTGAGCGTGAGTTAAAGTTGCATTTTGAACTGAGCAAAAATAAACAATAATGCTATGGTGCAGAACTTCTGCATCAGATGTATTGTGATCCTGTCAATAAACTGTATTTAGTTTCTAAAGCCAGTTCTGCAGGAATTTGCTAGAATCAATAAACTGTTCCAATTCAACTCTGGTTGTAATGCCTTCAGAATGCTAGACTGCCTCCATTCTTTCTTTTGTGCTCTTATATCAAGAGTGTTTCTAGAAAGTGTCCCTTTATCTGATAGTGAACTCCTTGAAGTCAATTTGAGTAACCCAGCCAGCCACTTGCCACTGTGTGCTGTTAATTTTGGAGAACTGTTTACTGTTTTAGGAGATGCAAAACTTGACAAAGCTCTTGAAGCTGCTAAACAAGTACATTTGAGACTTCCAGAAAATATTAATCAGTGGGAATCTATGTCCATGTTTAGTTAATCTCTTTCAGGGAAAATGTCAACTAATGACATCTCCATGCTGAAAATTTTCAAAGGTGACTTGGGGGCCTTTGCACAGTATCAAGCCATCAACTTCCAGCAATGGCAGAGCACAGATGAGGACAATGCAGAGCAGTTCTGGGTGGAAGTATACAATTTTCAAGACCATAGTGGTGAACAGTGCTTTAAAGAGCTAGCCCTGTTCGCACGTTCCCTACTCACCATGCCTCTGAGTAATGCTGATGTGGAACAAGCGTTCACGTTGTTCACCTGAGAGAAGTCCAAGCACCGGAACAGGATGGGTTGCTGGACTCTGAGCAGTATACTGCACCTCCACTATCTGCTAAGAAGACTAGGGATTTGTTGAATGGATTTTGTCCCACACTGGGATATGGTTCAATGTAGGAATGTACTACATTGAGGCAACAGACCGTGGAGGATGCAGAGAGCAAGGATGACTTTTTTTAAGTACGTACACACACATTCTTTTAACGTGTAACAACGTTGTATGCAGCAAAACTGAACTAAAAAAATTGTGGAATTTGTACGAACACCCCCACTCCCCTCTCTCTGAAAGGAGCTGAGCTTGTTTTGAAAGGGGGTGGGCTTGTGGGGTGTAGGTTTTTTTCCCTTCCTTGTGAGACTTGGCAACACACTCCTGCAGGCAGGCTCAAGGGAGCAGATCTCAGTAAGAGCGAGGAATGGTGTGGAGCCTGGCAGCAGGCTGCAGCAGGCCAGATTAGCCCCACTGTCACCCCAGGTGCTGTGTTGTGTTGGGTGATGGAGCATTATCATGAGGGGTAGAGGGGTCCAGATAGTCCAGGCCTTCTATTGCATGTGGTGGGTACATGTCACAAGGACTACACCTCCCAGCATGCCATGCTCCACCCTTCCTTGGCTGTGGGCTGGTTTCCTCAGGGCATGCTGGGAGGTGTAGTTCTACTGGTGCCTTATGGGCTGAGGGCCCCCAGCATGCATAGGCTGCCAGGGACCTGCCCTTGCAGGGGATTCCACACTTCTTCCTGGGCTCTGCGTGGAGTCTTGCATTCTGGTGAGCTGGCTCAGTGCCTGCCCTCAAAGGCCTGAAAGGCTAATTCGTGCTAATGGGGGAAAGGGCCCTGGAGAGACAAACCACCTTTGGGCTGTGGGAGGGCACAGGGTGCTCTCTGGCACTGTCTGAAAATCACCTCTGGCCTCTACAATGGCTCCTGGGGAGATAACTGTGCCTACAGCAACAGGAGCGTTAAGCTTATTGCCCACAGACCCAATGTGTGGGGAATAAAACCCATGTTCCTATAACTCAAGCCAATGGGAGACCTTGGGAAGTGGATGCTAGTAACCTGGGAGGAGAGGGATATATTGGGGTGGTAAGTCTGGTATAACTGGTATTTCTAAAAACAATACGTTTGTTTTTCTTCCAGCACACTATGGGAGTCTGAAGAGCCATGGATTACACATGAACAATCATGAAAGGCCACTGAGCACCTCAGCAACATTCCACATCTGTATCCCTTTCTATAGGAATATACTAAATGCAGCTGCTCAGTTTATAAATGAGACTTTGAAGACCATCTCACTTAAACACTGATAGTCTTTAATGCTGAAAACATCTGAGTCTCCAGCCCTTACTCAGCAAAATAAGTTGACCAGTAATTAGTTTGGCTGTTTGCATGAGTAGTCAAATGGTAGGGAGTAATGCTTACTGGGCTGCCTGGTGCTCTAAACACCTAGCAAGACAGTCCCTTTCCAGAAAAGCATACAAGCTAAATAGACAAGACCGTACAAAGGTAAAGTGACTTGCCCCAATCACACAGCAGGCTACTGACAGAGCTGATGATAGAACCCAGGTGTCCTGACTCCAATCCAATCCTTACCCACAGTGTCTGCCTCCTGTAGTAAAGCCTTATAAAACAAGAGCATATTATGGTGGTATAGTAAAAGCCCAAAGGTATAAAATGCTCTTTTGGTATTGCATTGATAGGGCTATTCTGTTTGTATTCCAGTAGTGCCTAGAGGCCTATAGTGAGACTGGATTGCTGTAGAAAGGTAATGGATTTCATGCTTTCAGGCAGGTCAGAGTGTCTGTGCAGGGGTTCTTGTGACCTCTCAGGGGGTTGCAAGGCTGATGGTCCCAAGCCCTCATTAAATTAAATTTCCTCTCCCCATTTTTAATTTATAAGCGGGGGGGTCACACTCAGAGGCTTAGTGTGTGAAAGGGGTCACCAATGCTAAAAGTTTGGAAACTGTTGATCTACAGAATAAGAGGATGTTGTGCCCTGCTGTAATGAGTTTTATGATGATTTAATTTGAGGGAGCAGTTTAAAGGGCTTTTACTTCCATATGTACTACTCAGCAGTATGTGTGGCAGCAGGAATGCTTCCCTTCCCTCTATGGAGGAAAACCACTTAAATAGGATGGTTAGAGAAAGTGGTGGTCTGGTTACTGTCTGTGAGTACAATATGTCAGACTTACTTACTAGAATGTCTTTCAGTGCTAAAAATACTGCTTCTAGGGGATGGTATAAATTGATGCAGGTGTCTGGTTTGCCTGTGTATTTCAATGTGTAATAAAATATTTGCGTACTAAAGTTTGGTTTCATTCACTATTCCAGAAAACAACTTGCTATTTGCAGTAAGAGCAGACCTATGGGACCCAGGCTGTTCCTTCCCCAAATTGTCACTTTTCAAAGCAGTCTTAAGAGTAGCCACTGTTTTCTCTAACTTTTCCAAATGGTGTTTTAATCCTGGCTAGAGTATCTTTGTAATTGGTTTATCAAATCCTTCTTTACAATTAGGAAGCAAATGATCACTAGTCACAATTGTTTGACACTTAATCTGTGCTCTTGTAGAGCAATCATATTTTCAGATACCCAGTTGTACAAGTTTATTAATCTCATAATGAGGTATAATCTGAACACAGTACAGAATGAACAAGTTTACACTAATTTCTCATTGAGCTACTTATTGTCCCAGAAGTTCTACGTATGCCCATGTGTGTAAGGATAAGGCCTTTGTCTGCAGCCATATTAAGAGCAGCAGTCATTATCTAAGAAGCAGGAAGTTGCATCCTCACATTCCATCTAAATTACATTAAAACAATGTAATATCAGGTCGTTAAGAAGGAGATCCTGTCCTAATAGTACCCACTATCACCAGAAAAAGGAACCGATTTTAAGATAGCTAAAGAAAATTTAGTTTGATAGCATTCTGTCTGGCAAGAAATCCTTTATCAAGAGTTGTGGTTGTGAAATCCTCATTTCTTTGTTTTATCTTTATGGTCCATTTCCCTATTGTCTGTATGATCTCTGGTTCTTTGATTGTTTGTTACATAATTTTGCTACGTGTAAAATTATTTACGGTGGTGGGGTATGATTGGTTAGAGAATTTTATTACAGTATGTTAAGATTGGTTAGTAAAGTCATTGGTTAAGGTATAGCTAAGCAGGACTCAAGTTTCACTATATAAACTGGGTCTAAAAGGAAGTTCTTTGGGAACCAACTCCAGGATACAGCCCCAAGAACAGAGCTGCCAGACTCCAACACTGCCACTGATACTGTGCAGAAACTGGAGTCCCCCAGATGGACCTGATCCTGACTGGCTATCAAGAAAAATTCATCTGTCTTATTGGGTGTGGTGAGCACTGTATGTGCAGCATTTGCATTCTGTTTTTTGGTAATTGGTAAAGAGGATATTACTGTGTGAGGCTCTTTCCACTGGGAAAAGACCCTGCAATCGCACAGCATGTAAGGTACTCCGAGTCCTAGGAACAGGGTATGGGTGGGTGCCTAAATTAAGAGGGGTATACCTTGAGCCCCAGCAGCTGGATAAAGGTGGGGGCCCCTAGAGTGTGAGAGTAACAGAATTTTGGGCGGGTAACATGTGTCTGCACCTTTTCCATGCTTGCCCAGTCTTGAGTGTATAAAATGCATTTTGCATGTGGAATACAGTGGCATATGAGTTACTCTCATTTGAAAACGTCTGCCTTTCTCCACCTCGCTTATAACCAGAAGGGCTGTTGTGAACATTAAGGCCAAATGCAGGGTATGGTCTGCTACTAGGCCAGACAATCTGCAGGATAAAGGATGTAAGAGTGATTGCTGTCAGTGCCAGGTGCCAGCTTCCCACCTCCCCACCCCCCTTGTCTGAAAGTCTGGGCTGGGTGAAAAAGCTGGTTAAAACTTGCTTTTTTGTAGGCTACAAGAGGCAGTGATACTTTACTCTTTTTTTTTTATTGTTTTTAAAGTATAGCCAAAGCGGTTAGCTTAGCCCCAGCATATCTTTCTAGTGTAGGGGGGGGTAAAACCTGGTATACTGGCCAAATCCCAGTTTAGGTAACTATAGTTTTTCCAGACACACATACTACTAAGTAAAGGAGGACTTGTGGCACCTTAGAGACTAACAAATTTATTTGAGCATAAGCTTTCGTGAGCTATAGCTCACTTCATTGGATGCATTCAGTGGAAAATACAGTGGGGAGCTTTGTATACATAAAGAACATGAAACAATGGGTGTTACCATACACGCTGTAACGAGAGTGATCACTTAAGGTGAGCTATTACCAGGGGGCGGAACCTTTTGTAGTGACAATCAAGGTGGGCCATTTCCAGCAGTTGACAAGAATGTGTGGGGAACAGCGGTGGGTGGGGGAATAAACATGGGGAAATAGTTTTACTTTGTGTAATGACCCATCCACTCCCAGTCTCTATTCAAGCCTAAGTTAATTGTATCCAGTAGTGGCAGTAGCTGTAAGCAGCCAAAGTAATAGCTTAGGGCCCCAGTCAGTTCAAGGGGGCCCTGATTTCATGTTACCTTCACACATCTGTTTGGGGGGCAGGGATAGCTCAGGTTTCAGAGGAACAGCCGTGTTAGTCTGTATTCGCAAAAAGAAAAGGAGTACTTGTGGCACCTTAGAGACTAACCAATTTATTTGAGCCTGAGCTTTTGTGAGCCACAGCTCACTTCATCATTGAACTCACAAACCCAGGGTTGTGAGTTCAATCCTTGAGGGGGCCATTTAGGGATCTGGGGCAAAAATTGGGGATTGGTCCTGCTTTGAGCAGGGGGTTGGACTAGATGACCTCCTGAGGTCCCTTCCAACCCTGATAGTCGATGAATGTGGACTCTTGAACCCGTGTGTGGGCATGGGGGGCGTCTAGGGGGTGGGAACAATGCAGTCGGGTTTTTTTGGGAGCGGGGAACGCTCCCGCAGGGGCCCCGGTGGGGTAGCACTGGCATCTGCGGCCCGCTGGGAGCCCGTGCTGAACTGGAGCCTGATTTCCCCCTTCTCCCTCCTGCCTTACGCTGGGCTGGGGCGCTGCCGCGGGCGGCCTCGCTCCCCCCCAGAGGTGGCTGCACGGCCCGGCCGGGTGAAGACCCCCACCCCCCCCGAACACGCCGGTCCCCCTCTCTCAGCCCCCGGGGCGATCTGCCCGCACTCAACAGGGGCGGGGGGGGCCGAGCGCCCAGCCCCTAGTTCCGCGGTCTCCCCGGGCGGGGGGGTTGAATGGGTGACGTCACGAAGGAGCGCCGGAAGTGATGCCTTCGCCCTTGGCAACCTGAGAGCGCCGGAACCACGCGTGCTCGCTGGGGGCGGGGAGGCGAGAGTCCGAGCCGCTGAGGGGCCCGGCGGGAGCATGGCGGCCACCCGCCCCGGCAGCGCGCCCGTGCGCTTCAAATCCAAGTGAGCGGAGGGGACGGCGGGAGCCCCAGGGAGCAAAGGGGCCGCCAGAGGGGAGGGGGGAGCCCCAGGGAGCAAAGGGGCTGGCGGGGGAGGGGAGCTGAGAGCCCCGGGGAGGAAGGGGGAGGGGTGGCTGAGATCCCTAGGGAGGAAGGGGGGGGTGCCTGAGAGCCCCAGGGAGAAAAGGGGCCGGCGGGGGAGGGGAGCTGAGATCCCCAGGGAGGAAGGGGGAGGGGTGGCTGAGATCCCTAGGGAGGAAGGGGGGGTGGCTGAGAGCCCCAGGGAGCAAAGGAGCCTGGACGGGATCTGAGAGCCCCAGGGAGGAAGACGGGTCCCAGGGAGCAAAAAGGGCCTGTGGGGTCCCTTGTGTCTCAGAGATCCGAAAGCCTTTTGGGGGTGGTGTGGGGGAGCCATTCTCCGTCTGTGCTGCCGCCAATGGGGAGGGGCACGTTCGTGCCATCACCGTGGGGGGTGCCATGGTGGGAGCCCTGGTGTTGCTGTGGCGGGAAGGGGTGCTGTGGCACAGGGGTGTCTGCCAGGAAGGCGGCTGGGAGGGTGCCAGGCCAGTGGCTGTCTCTGTGCTGTTGTGCAGATGGGGCAAGCCTGGGATTCTGTCACACAGACGTAATATCGAGTTTGTCAGATACCATTTGTTTTCCCCTCACCAGGCTATGACCCACAATTGTCTCATGGCTCTTCTCCCTTCCTTCCAAAGTGCCGCCACTTAGTAATTGTTATTTAATAACACCCACAGAACACGTTGGGAGTGAGGGTTCTACCTCTGGCATATTGGTCTCATCTCCTTAAGAGAAAGCTGGTAGATTTAATACAGAATGATTCTGTACTGTAGAGAACTGTCGGATTTGTCAAACCCACTTTAGTCAGGATCTTATCCTCTGTTACATTCTATAGGTTTTTAACAGTGCTTATTATCTTCACTGCTAGGGAGCAGATTTTGTGCACAGGCTACTGTTTTACAGCAGTACAACATTCTGATTCTGCTACATTAGAATCAGAGTTTTTGTTCCAGATCACCTAAACGTAACATGATGCACATTGAATCACTGGTGGTTACAGTGCTGTCTCGGTGGCGCATGTTTGCTATGTCAGCCTCTGATGCTTTTAGTGCAATAACACAGCTCTATTAGAAACTGTCAACTTTCACTAGTCCCTGTACAAAACAATAAAATAGTTCTGGTAAATCCAGCATAGTTTGTTGTTGGACTCGCTTGTCTTCACAAACTTGAAGCAGGAATTCATAAAGGAAAAGATGTTACAGGAATAGACTTGAGCAGTTACACAGAAGTATTTTGCTGTAATTTATGTTGCTGGTACATGACTCAGATAATCCATTTCTTTCTATACATAGCACATGTTGGTCTTTTTTTATTTTCTGATATTTATTTAGCTACAATTTTTCTAGCAGGTTTAATTCTGGTAAGACGTATACATATAGTGTTCCTGCATATGAATAATCACTTCAAAGTGCTTTTAATGAAAATGGTGTAAACAAATCAGTCTATTTTAACTGTTCCTCTATTTCTGTTTCTTTTTATCCTTTCAGCTATGCTGTGTCTAGGAAAATTGAGCCTTTCTACAAAGGAGGGAAAGTTCAGGTAATGCCAAACCCCAAATTCTTTTACTGAAATCTTGGGGGAGGAAAGTAAACAATGATACATATATCAACTCTCTTTTTGGTGCCATAAACTTTTTTGTTTTTTTTTCTAGATCAGCCGAGATGGAAAACATGTGTTTTGCCCCTGTGGGACGAAACTAAATATAATGGACATTGCAACAGGAGCACTTGTTCATAGCATCGAACAGGTGAGATGATGCAAAATCAAACTAACTTAAGTTTTCTAGATTAACTTTTATCTACTAACGTGATGTATTTAATTCAGTATTTTCAAA